CAAAGGAGTGGTATTTCTTGGTGCCTTTGCACTGACAAGTAGATCAAGTGATTAATGTTGGTTCAGTACAGTCATTGCAGCATCACTTGTGTTATCAACCATTTCGTTAGGAAAACAATAAATGCTGCTTTGAACAAATTTTGCAGATCATATACTATTTTAGTCGAGAGAAAAGCTTTGCATGGATGGTTACATGCTTCCAGCACATTGTGGTGTCTCACAAAACCAGCTTCCGTAATTTGCCAGTAGCAGAAACACCATCCGGAACAACAACTTCTATTACGAGGGACAGGGGAAATGTTTTATTACCCACCCCCTTCCCCTCTAATATGAACCCTGTCCAAATGAGGCTGTCGTGTGCGATTCTGCTCTCGTAGTTGTAAAAAGTAATGAGTGTGTGTTTGACATGAACCATTGGTGTGTTTGCTGCAGCGGTACTCATGGTTACATGGCTCCAGAGGTTCTTCAGAAGGGGACGGCGTACGACAGCAGCGCCGACTGGTTCTCCTTAGGCTGCATGCTCTTCAAACTCCTCCGAGGGTAAATACTACATCGTCTCTCTCTGCTCTCCTTTCATTTTTCCTCTTCTGTTTCTCCTCTCTGCTCTATACTCCCACCACATCCTGACTTCATGTACTGCTTTCAAACCTCTTCTGCCACTCTAAGTAGACCTCTTTGAATCTGCTCTCACCGTTCTCTGTATCTCTCGCCGGCTCGTCCTCTGTTTGGTGTGTGTTTGATGTTGTTTGTGTGCTAGTCCGTGTGTGCTTGTTTGATCTCGAGTGTGTAAATGCCAGAGGTCCAGGCCCAGTAGGTCAGATATCAGGTAAAAGGGGGATGTGTGCGTGCGTGCATGTGCATGCATGTGTGTGCATGTGCATGTCTGAGCGAGCAGAAGAAGCGTGTGACGTGTCTTTCCATTGATGTTTGAATCAGTGTGTTTGAACACTGTGTTGGTCTTCACTGAAAGGTTGGCAGTGTGTTTCTACACAATCCTAAACAACTCTAACGGGAGGAAGACACACTGACAGTACAACAGACTGCAACACAACTGTGGTTATAGGTTAAGTTCAGGTTTCCTCAGCACGACATGACCATGCATAATCTTATATATATATATATATATGTATATATATACTCCACTTTGGAATGACACATGAATTCACTGAAAACACAGATATCCCAGGTATCAACCAGCACTTAAAGGCAGCATACATTTGTGGATATGTGTGGAGGTGGAGAAGTGAAGAGCAAGTGAAGAGTCCCTAAATGCCACACACAAATGTAACCTTTACCTTCGAGCGTATCAGGTGATCTGTGCACACACATTTAACCATCCACAAATAAAGTAGTTCTGTGGTTTGCACCAACAAATGATTCATTGATGTCATGTTATAATAATACGTACATGATAATATCATGTAAATCAGGGGCCGGCAAGTAGGTTTGGCCGCAGGACATTTTTTGACTGGACTAGTAGATGGATGGGAACATACTGAAAGACTAAATCAAGAAATTGATTTAAAAAAAAATGCACCTTAAATCTGTGACAGAGACTGTTACAATGTTAAGTCAACAGATTCACTGTCATCTAATTGTGTTCTGCTGTCAGACACAGACATGCAAGGCAGGATAATCCTACATTAGTAGTGACACTTGATCTGGATCGTGAGATACAGATGTAATGGTAATACGCAGTCAGTGGTTTGCAGTGAGTAACTTCCTGACATTTTAACCTCTAACCCCTCCGGTCAAAGAGGGACATTCATAAGTTACATCTAACCTCTGACGTTTCGTTACAATGACGAGCTTTATTTTAGTCTCTAACTTCAGCTAATCCAATGTGCCTGTGTCACTTTGAAATGATTCCTGACAGTGCTACAGGCACTAGCACCCATGAGTTTTAGCCTCCTTGCTAACACACCAAAACCCAAAGTTGTGATATCCGAGTAGTGTGCAGGACTGAGTCTGTCCACACAATGCAACTTGGCTATTTTGGACGTCTGTGAAGCAATCGGCACAGTCTTCTGACCCAAGTTCACAACTTGCATATTTTGTAGATAAATTATAAAGAGGAAGTGATTCTATGATTGTTGCTGACTTGAGTGAAATCAGCACCCACAACACCCTGGGACTGTCTGTGTCACTACAATATGGGGAAATAAAATGAATCTAACCATCATAATAATCTGATAGGCCTGATATTATTGCTGGTGGGCCAGTTTTGGCCTGGGGGCCACCAGTTGCCTGCCACTGATGTAAACATTTCTGTGTCTCTTAAACCATCTCACTTTCTTTCTTTTGTTTCTCTCAACAATCATGTCAGATTCCTTATCTGGTTATTTTTATCCCTAGATGGCTTTTCAATAAAATCCCCAGAAAATGTACGTCACCACAATACATATTATTACGCTGCTGTGAAGCGCTATATAAATCCAAACCATTTTCCATTGTTATTATTGAGATGTAAAATGACTGTAGATGTGATCCACTCATAAATCAGACCACACTCTGTCCTGAGGTCATTACAGTTTTAAAGTCATGTTAGGACACCGCGCCTTTGTTCTTTCATGAACTTGAACTGGCCCGTTGAAGTCACTGCTGGAAAATGAATCTTTATCCACAAAACATTCCAGTCCGAAACCTTAAAACATTTCCATGCTTTATCACACACGCTCAAATGGATCCTGGAATAACTTGTCTGATCACAGCCATGAAGTTGGGCCTTGGATGTATTGATTACCACACCTCTGGTCCTCAGCAGTAGTTCTTGGTGTCATTTGGCTCTGGCTGATGAATTGGAGTCACTGCAGATGTAATTTAAAAGCTGCGGTTGTCTCATTAACACTGTCAGTTGTTTGATCACTTATAAATTCTACGGCTTAATATATGGGTCCCTGAAGGAGCTTTAACTGCCCGTCTATAAAAACATCTATCCCAGTGTTTATTCTCACCTCAACTTACCTTACCTCCCTCAGAAATCTCCAATGTCGCTGCTCTGCTGCTGGAATCGATTCTCAGCACTCAAACAGACAGTTTTGACCCAGACTGCCGCACTGAACCTCTTCCGACCTTATGAAAAAGTTCTTAGTTGGGAGTTATATTTTCTTCCTGGGCCCTGTACCTGGAGTCCTTCTGCCTTTCAGGGTAATGGACACATTTCTAAATTCCTTTTTAATAACATAGTTTAGCTGGTTAATAGGATGATAACAATACCATATACATTTTTTCATTAGCTATATATAACGTATACATATAAAGGATTTATGGATTTAAACAATTATATAATCCATATAATTGTTTTAAAAGTTCTGCCTCAGTTGTGATACAAAATACTGCTCAACCCTCATCAGGTATACATTACCTACAGTTTTAACGTCTCATCTCCCCAAAAATGTCATCCCATCTGCTGCCATGTTTCTAACACTGCACATTGTGCCAGAGTGGAAACTTTATCTCTTTTTATCAGAAACTTTTGTGGGTAGGTTTGTGGGTCACTTTTGTAGGTTCTGAGTCACTTCTCTTAACTTCACTGGAAATCACTCCTTTCAACTTGTATGGAGGTAGTTCTGGTTCATAACATAATCAATATCCTTAAACCTGCCACTGAGTTGCTGCTCCTCGAGTAAAACATCAGAACAGAGCAGGTGAGTCTAGTTCTGGATCAGCCTGGTGGTGTCGGGGTGTTTATACAACACAATCCTAGCACACATGCAGGACGCACTAATGTGAAGACTAAAAGAAACCCTAAATATGAGAATAATTGAATGTGAATCAACTGAATGTCTGTCATTATAATATGATGATTGGAGCTTCATCAGCAGCTGTGACACAGCTCATGGAGGCAATTCATTTACTTGAAAACCTTCACATTGCATCAAACATTTATTTTGAACCTCCCTGGAGCCGAAACTGAGTCATATTGGAACACGAAGGCAGATTTTTCAATGTAACTTCCGAAGCTTCATTTAGGAATCAGTGGAAAAGAGGCTCCTTGTAACGTGTTTCAAGATGCAGCTACTAATGCAACTTACAGACTCCATGACAACGTTATACTTCTGTCAGACTTTGATTTAATGTGAATTTTACAGATCATTCAAGCAGCTGCAGCAAAACATTTGATCCAGTTAGTGATTTGAAATTAAAGTAGGCAATTTTATAATTGGGGGTCAGGCAGGACAGTGTCCCAACTAAAATCTGATTGTCTGTCGCTGTCCTGTCAGTAGTCTTTTTTTTATTATTAATTAAACTAAAGTCTAACAATTCCAACTATAAATATGATAATTTTTTTATTATTTTTTTATATTTTCTTACACAACGTCCTTTGAAGCAACCACTTTCTAAACATATTCAATGATGTGTGGCTTTGCTCAACGTTGTAGAGCTAACAGAAAATAAGGAATGACTTAAATATGAACCTTACTGAATCAGGAATTATGCATAGATGTTGGACATATAATGGCCTTTCTGTGTAAATTGTGGCCCTCCTAATTGGCCCTGATTAAGATGAATCCTGTGAGTCATACACACAAGTACTTGGTGGTCATCACTACATCATTGCATAAATACTAATTTAGTTTGTAAACGGGTCGCACCACACCCGTCTTCAATGTGATTTCAGTAGCACCCCTGTAAAATGTTGTGACTGTATCTTGCACAGTTCTGATGCAATCATGGTGACATCTGTACACACTATCATGTTGAATATGAGGGCAACTACTGAGCATGCAGAGTAGATGGAGCGGTGAGCAGTGAAGAGAGTGTGGCTGCACGACTCCCCCTAATTTTGTTGGACTGTAAATTAAAAGCCGTTTCTGCAGTACCGGTTGTTGACGCTCTCAAATCTTCCAGTCAACGATTTGACCCGCAGGTAGCTAATTGACTTGAGTGTTGTGTTGGAACATGAGCACATTGCTTCAGTTTTCCCTGATTGTTAAAGGTATGATTTGCAGTGAATGTGTGATTTACTCTAAATCTTTCTTCCTCTTGCTGTGCTGCATGCCCAGCTCCCATCCTTCCTCATAATGTCCTCCTTAACATGTACCTCATCTCATCTCACCTCATCTTCCCCTTTCCCTTCATCTACTGTGTATAGACAAGAGTGTCAGTATCTGTCTCTCTCTTCCCTCTCCTGCTCAGGCACAGTCCATTCAGACAGCACAAGACCAAAGACAAGCATGAGATTGACCGCATGACGCTCACCATGGTAAGACACATCTACATGCAGCATGTTTGCTACGAGTCAGTGGTACAGCCCTGACACAATGGCGGATACATCTGTTACAAGGAGTCTATGAGTAAACCCACTGTAAAGCACATTGGAGTCTTTACTTAGCCCTGAACATATGGGTTTGGCCTGTGTTTATTTTACAGTAATACAAAATGCACACAGATGTTATTATCCCTATGCATACTGTATTGTGTGTGAACAAACACTATGACCTGATGCACGCTACTTACAAGACAGAGCTGTGTCTGTATGAGCCACACTCTGGTGCCACTTTTCATCTGTGCTACCTTCACATCATTGACAGAGATGAATGTCTTTGTTGTGCAATTTTTTGGGTCATCCCTTAGTGTGTCTGCCTGCTACCCTTCAACTGCTACCCGGCCGTCTGTTTACTTTCCTGTGTCATGGGAAGACACAGGAGATGAAGCATATGACAGAAACTCGGCTTAGATAAACTGATCCAGCAGCCAAGCTGGAACAGCTAAAGTACACCCCCTGGGTCAAACGGATTTGTAGTCACATTCAGCACAGGTTTGCTCAGGGAGTTGGGGATCTGTGGTCCAGGCATTGTTTAAAAAAGAAAGAATAAAGTAGCTGCATAATGAATTAGTTCTCATCAGTTTTGACTTGGTGTGTTTTTAATTAAGTTTCAAGTCCCCATCCAATTAGAAATGTGCCTTGATCCTTCACTGGGATGTTTCAGCTTCACTGTGCAGACTGTGCCCAGCTCCAGTCTCAGTTTAACACCTTGGCATTTGAGTCCTGGTCTCATATGCAACATACTTCAATGTGATGTGGGGACCTTGGGGCGGCAAGTCACAAACAAAGGAGATGTGATGTCTGAGTAGTGTCTGACAGGAAGAATAGAATTTGTGGAAGAATACACAGTGTTAATTAATGTGTTGAAGCATGTCCAGATAAAGAGGGTGTTTTAATTACAACATGCCCTGTGCAGAAAGCTGAGATTTGGGATTCATCCAAATTCACCACTTTCTTTCCTGAATGATTTAAAGAAAACTGTTGCGATTGTGAGCAAGTGTGTTTCATAGTTCATTCAGTTCATTTCGTTAACTGTGAATGTAAAATTAAATTGAAAAATTAAGATGCATTTGTCATTGTCTTCTAACATTTATTAGAAAAGCAGTGACAGGTATCAGAATATAATATTGTGAATAAGTAACCTCATAATTTCGACACCTGATGCCATGGAAACGTCGGCCCATATACCAAAGAGTTCCATACCCAGCCCTAATTATGAGCTATTTCTATTTCTAAGCAAACAATTGCAGCAATTTGTTGCCTCTCGGATTTGAGCATCTGGGGCTTTTTCGAGCCATGTTCAGGTTTACTGGTCTCCGGCGTTATTGATCATCAGAGAGCATTAACAGTGTCGTGTGGAAAAACACTGAACCGCGGCTTCGCATCTCTACTTAAGAAAGCCGACGACAGGTCTGAATTCAGCTTGTCTGTTGTCAGTTTGTCTGTCTCTGCAAACGTCTGTAAGTGCTTGACAAAGATAGTTTGCTAGAGGAGAACTGTCACTCTGTAACCACACCGTACATGCACAAGTGTTTTTGCAGCTCCAACAAATCCAGCAGAGTGAGACATCCTAGTGTCTGGGATGGGGGATATTCTCCAAAATGAACCTAATTTATATCACATCAATAAATGAAGCTCAAAGACTTTGTTTTTGAAGCAGGACCTTTAGTATTTGACTCAGGAAGTTTGTAAAAATAAAGTGTATGAGATTAATAAGTCTACACCAACTGTGTTTAAGTAACACTGTAGTAATAGGTATAATCATCATTTAAATAATGCCAATTAAGTATGGGATCAGACTGGAAGAAAGCCATTATTAAAACACTTGGATCAGGGAAAAAAGTGTGTGTCTTTGTTTTTTACTAGACGATATTAAAGCACTCACTGTGTGAGACCGTTTTCAATACAAAGTGCGATTAGCTCATCATTCTCTGTTTGAAGAATACACTGTTGAGATTCTCGATGTCATTGGTCAGATTTGGCAAACACATGGAATGAATAGTGTTCATTGAGCCCACCCAGCGACATATCTGCTCTCGCCCACCCCATTTTTTTTCCTCTTCAAATACAAGCTAGAGTTGTGAAAAGGCGACTCATGTCGGAGCGCAGACACATTCACGAAGACAAACTGAACAGTGAATTTTCACCACAGCTTCGCTCCTCTTCACTCTGTTTGCCAGCAGCACTCGTCCATTACAGTGGACGGCGTCAAGAATCTGTGTCTGTTAATGGGTTTTGTCAGGACATGAAACAACTGAGAAGGGGGAGCTGCACCCTACACACACACACACACACAGGAGCGGTTTGGTTGAGCAGAACCCCCAGACGCCGAAATTATGATCTTTCATATTACAATAAATCCAGATTAGGATTTTAATCCAGCCACTTACTCTGATTTATCCCCTTAATCCTTGTCTGCGTGTGTGCATGTGTGAGGGAGAGAGACAGTTACAAAAGAGGGGGGCCGTCAACCCAGCCCCGACCAGGCTAAAAATACTGCTCTTTATGTCTTAGTGTTTATTAAACATGATGAATGGTCTCATTACATAAACATGATAGAAGCAGACAGCAGCGAAACGGCTGAGCACTGAGCTGCAGGACAGGAAGAGATGGATAGGAGGAGGGCCGGAGCAGATCCTGATAGATGGCACATCTGAACTCTGAGACATCTTCACCAAGCTGCTGAGTAAAGCCTGTCAGGGGGAAAAAAAAGAAATAGAATGAAACAAAAGGGCGGAGGCGGACTTGTGCTGTAGTAGAGGTTCTCTGACGGTGAATTGCCTTTCCAGGGACCACGGGAGAGCTGAGGGAGGGACGTTAAGAAAATACACTGCCTGAGATGAAAGAGATGCCGGTGTTGGAGTTTGTAGTTTTGTCCTGCTAGTTAAGCAATTCAGAATCATACCTTATCCAAGTCAGTCAGTCGACTCAATGTGACGTCATATCATTTTGATGATATATCTGATTTTCATTGCACAACACGATTGTTGTTGTGTAGCTAAATCTATTAACATATATACTGTATATATATTATACAACTTTTTCATGCTGCACAATCAATATCTAATGACAATTATCGCATCCCATCAACATGAGTATTTTCCCTGATGGCAGACAGGGGGTGGTGGAAAACCTGTGCTCTCTATTGTAATAGGTGCTAAGGATGTTGATCTATTTTCAAACTCCCTAGTCACACTTTCACTCTCTCCCCCTCTTCGTCTCTTTCTCCTGCAGAATGTGGAGCTGCCAGATTCTTTCACTGCAGAGCTCAAAGATCTGCTGGAGGGGCTGCTGCAGAGGGATGTGTCCAAGAGGCTCGGCTGCCAGGGCCGAGGGTACGACACACACTCAAACAAACACACACACACACACACATACACATAAAGCGCACATTAATCCCTGTCACATCTCAGCGTTCATGTCCACAGGCGTGGGAATGAATTCATCAATCAGACAGCTTTTGCAAGATGTGCTCATTAAGGCCGAAAACAGTGGGTGGTGTGGTGTACAGCCCAGCGAAATCGGGTAGAGACAAGACATCAAGTGATCCGCTAGAAGCCGAGTTCATAACTAATTTCATCAGCGCTGTCGTTTTGCATCAGTTTAGGAATAAACCGGATTGATGGATCACTGTCTGAACTGGGTATTCGGCTAAATAACAGGATTGTGGGTGTGTTTGTGAGAGGGGAATTCATATGGCAAACACTGCCACCTAGTGGACATATATATTTATTCACATATTTTTTTTCTCTCGATCACACATACACATGCAGAGCCCCAGAGGTGAAGGAGCATCAGTTTTTCAAAGGCATTGACTGGCAGCAGGTGTACCTCCAGAAGGTGAGCGGGCATCATTGTCTTCATCAATCATCTTTTGATCTTTGTGCTGCAGGTGTTTTTTTTTTTTTTACAGTGAAACTCTTCATATGAGGTTAGGATTTTCTCAGCCTTTGTCTGTTTGTTAAATAGCAGGTTTACATTAAAACTAGAGGACGGATTACCACAGACTTGTGGAATGAGAGTCATGGAAAATCCCAAAACATTTTGGTGTGGATCTGGATAAGGGGACGGAGCCAGGAATTTTTTTAACTTTCTTTTACATTGTGAGACAGGACATTTATTGATATTTTAACTGATTTCCCAGCAAATAATTAATTAATCATGATGGAAAGAATTAGGCAGAATTAGAAGACTGAGATACATGTAATTGTGTGCGATTTGGTACTTGATTGAATCAAATGGAACTATTTGGCCTTGATGGCGGTATGCTCTCATCTGAGTGGTATTCTAGTTTTGTAATAATATGCGTACATACTCCACTAGAGTCTAAGAACTTGAGAGACCTGAACTAGAAACTGTTTTTATTATAAATTGATCTAAATAAGTTTTTCCAAAATTATTGTCAATATAAATCCAAACAAGTTTTTTAAATCTTTGTTTTTTCTTTCAAATCATGTGTCCAAATGTTTGATCAAATGAGAACTGACAAATCATTTCTCTAAATGCTTTTGAGCCCTTTGTCAATAAAAATATATGTATATGTTTTGCACAAAGTTAAAATATAGGACAAAGGACAAACAAGTTTGAACAAACACATAATTCATTCATATTGATTCAAACAACACTGTGGAGCAGTTGAAGTCAGCTTCAATCTTTCCATCAGTTGTGTCCCACTGAAAATACTCCTGTGCCATCATAGATTCTGATTTATAGTTTGGATTCAAATTCCATGCATTGATTTCACAAAAGGTAAACATGACACAAATACATTCACTCATGATCATAATTCTGTTCTTCTCTATAACTGCTTTATCTCAAGTAAATGTATCACAGGAGCTATATCCAGGTAACTTGTATTTGGTCTGGCTACCGATGAGAGGACTGCTGTCATGCAGCCGTCATATTTACCTGACTTATCTGGTGCGACAGGGAGCAGCAGTGGTGTGGAGATAAAGGTTTGCAGTCCAGATGCCTTTGTAAGATGTGACTTACTGAAGAGGAGGAGGTTACTGAGCCTCAGTCGCTTCATGCTGTTGTCACGATCAACAGCATGAAGCAGTGGTTAAACAATCCGGTCCAGACTATTTTTTTTTAACAAGACTAATGCGGACTCGATTTTTACTGTGATGGATTACAAAGTCAGGATTTTCAAGGTCTATACATCGACCCTGATGATGCTGGTTCATATACCTGACGTGTTAAAGAGATTTACACTGCTCCAAAAAATGAGTGCTGCAGATTAAATCAAGTAATGGTTCCGTTTTTCAGGAACTCTGTACAGCGCTACACTAGTCATTAGTCCATACAGTTACAGTTGCTATGGTTACTCCATCACTTCAGGGAAGCACTGCTGTGGGGCTGTTGTCTGGTTGCGTTGCTCACTCTCCTGTTTGTCCTCCTGCCATGTCGTCTTGCATTGTCCTTCTGAAAACCATGTCTGTGTTCTCTCCCTCTGCCTCCAGTACTCTCCCCCGCTAATCCCCCCCAGGGGAGAGGTGAACGCCGCAGATGCTTTTGACATAGGCTCTTTTGATGAGGAGGACACCAAGGGCATCAAGGTAAAACACTCTCACACATCCCTGTGTTACATTTACCACCCACTTCTCTTCCCCCACAGATGGTTTCTGTGAGTGTCCCGTCACTGTAAACAGATGTGTCCCGTGTCTCTCTCAGCTTTTATTTCTCAAATAATGAAGGGTGCGTGCTCAGCAGCAGGAGAAAACAAATCACCACACTCATAATAATGTAAATATGGACATTTTCAGTATGTAGAAATGAAGCAACTTGATGGAAACCAGAAATATTATTTTTTAGTTGTGAATTTCTCTGATTTCCACACACTGTACCCACCATCCTTTGAAGGACATCTATCAGATCTTTACTAAACTTTGAGGTGAGAAAAAGTAAAAACTCAAACACAGACCAAGTCAGCTCTTAAAGGCGGTGGGGTGTTATAGTTTTAATGTTGATTCGATGACAGACAATGACTGTAGAGTAATTACACCATCTGCATTTGGATTGTGCAGTTCTGTCTCACACTGGGCACGAAATCCAGGAAACTGGAGGCTCACTTAAAGTACGTCTGCCAGTGCACTACAGAAACAAGAAGATGGTCATGGACATGGACATGGACATGGCAGACAGTGGAAAAACCAGAGTAACTGGAAAGTCAAGGGCAGAAAGCAGCCCATCAACGTGGCTGATGGCCAGTCAGAAAATGGAGAGAACGCTGGAACTGGAGAGGGTCCAAAACTGCCATTTCTACCCTGCTTTTATTGCAGCCCTGTGATCAGAGTTTCTAGTTCAAATTCTCATTCTCTCGATTTTGTTGTTGCTTTGGGCCAGACTGATAGCTGTGTAGCCATGTTGAAATGTTGGTCATGTTGAGTAACAATACAACATTTTCCAGCCTCTCAGTTGTTCGGCTTTGCTGCTTTTCTTTGTCTAATATCATTTTCATAAACTGCAAATCTTTTGAGTTGCAGGGAATTGCAACACACATTTTACCCATCCTTTCCCGCATTTTATTAAATCAAATAATCAAGAAAGACGTTAATCAAGAATAAAAATATGTATTTATAAGAAAATAAGACCAATGAAAATTAAATAGCCAACAGCAAAGAATATAAGCTAATATAAAATTCCTTAGGCACGCAGAACCTTCCTGATACTGGACAGGATGGTGACATTTAGTTCAGAATGACCTTCTTGTTGGTTAGCATCATATTATACTTGTTTTATAAGTCACTTATATCTATTAGTTGATCAACAGATAAGTGGAATCCTATTTGGTGACTGATAATCATTTCCACACATCATATTTGATAGTTAACTGAAGGACCTCTGGTTTTTGACTGTTGAGAAATCTGAAACAAAACATTTAAATGCCGAGGGAAATGTACCACAGTGTGAACAGACAAAGCTGCTGTCAGTAATAAATAGAATTCCTCAGCCAAACGGGATCATGAAAATATAATTGTTTTCTCTTATGCACTCTGTTCACCACCACAATGATCCCAGATGAAACTCCAGATTTACAGTATGAATCAGATCATTGTCCAATTTCCCATCATCCAGAGAAAGACAGGAAACCAGATCATTGAGCTGCTTCCTTTTAAGAAACGGGAGGCAGAGGTCCATACTCTTTAGAATAAACCTTTCAACTGTTACCACAGAAAACGCTGCAGCCTGCTGGCTCTCATGTGGCAGCTATAGAATCTGTAACAACAGCCCAAGACTGCAAGTACTTCCTGATTTGTTTTCCGATCCCCTGCGTGTACGAGCGAGCATGTCACAAAGATGTCGCTCAGACAGCCATCGCTGCATCAGGGTTCGGGAAGTTTTACAGAGCCGCTGACTTTACCTTCCTCAATCACAGGGATGTGCTCTCGGTCCTTTCACAGCTTTAGATCATGAAGCAAAGGATGGTTTGAAATGACTCAATTCAACACATCATGCACTCTACTTGTTTCCTCCCTGGGATTTTCTTCCTTCCTCATTAACATTAATGTGGCTGCAGTATCAGTAATCTTCCTCTGACACCCCACCGCAGGGAAATAAAAGGCACACGCGCCCGTTGACGTTTCCCCGGACAGCGCTTGTCTGTAACAATAGCAGGGATGACAGACATAACTGCGGTGTAGTAGCGAGAGCATCAAGATGGAGGAGGGAAAGAGCACAGCTTTGGTCCCTCGATGTTAATCCAGTCAGAACAAAATGACTGTTTCTGTGTGAAAGTGGAAGCGGAGCAGGGGGTTTCTTAAAGAGACAGTTAAGGTTTACAGCAGCATCTATGAACCAGTGTTACATTGAAAGGTGCTTCTAATATTTTAGTGATATAGATGAGCAGGATAAAATACCTTAGCCACCGTGAAGGTAGCGAAGCGTCAAGAAAGGTCAGCTCCAGGCAGTAGGGGATGGATGATTGTTGACACGATCAAAACTCAACTGTTCACTTTCCTGCAAAAGTCAGATAAGTAGATTGATATCCGTCTCATGTTTTAATGTATAAATATGAGAGAAAATCCACAGTTGTATCAAAGGTAAAAAGAGGTACATTCAACCCCAGCAGCAAACAGACATTAAACTTTGCTTGTCTTCAATGATCATGTACTTTTAATTTCTATATTTTTATATACAGAAGTAGAAAAACAAAACCCCTTCACCAAATGTTATGCACAGGGGTTGAAATATTCTGCTTTGAGGTAGAGTGGCTGTCACACCAGAAAACACGGTGGCACAGATAGAGAAAGATAAAATATATGGATGCAAATGTCCCGCAGTCAGACTGAAAGGAGGTCGGCTTCTACAACAGAGCAATGATCCAAATTCCTACCTCACAGTGCACTATACTTCAAGAAACACGAGCTGAAGGTTTTATTAACGACCCTCGAGGTCCCCCTGACTTCAACATCCTTGAAAATCTGCGGGTGGATCTTAAACATGCTGCGTGTGCAAGACAACAGCCTAAAAATATCTCAGACCTCAGAAGTGATCTGCAGGAGGACTGGGAGAAAAAAAAATCTTAAATCAGAAAGAGACTTTTACAGAAAGTACAGAAAGAAATACTGATGCAACCCAAACCTTTACACCAGCCACAATTACTGATCAAAATTTATAAGAAAAGTTAACTTTAACTCATTTAAGTATTTGTTGCTGTAGAGATATTTAAAAACGGAATTAAATATGTCATTTTTCCACTGATGTCCAAACATGTGCATACAACTATACATGAATCTATTAGGTACACACTGGTTTTTCTGAGGTCCAACAGGTCTCTCGAAATATTCCATGCAATTGTTTTTCACTTTCTTCAAACAAGAGGAAACACACACACACAACACCAGGGAAGTGTTGTCACTGAATTATCATTTAAGCACCTGGAAAATGACCAGATACTTGCCTGTGATGTGACTTTCATCCATCGTCCCTGTCCGTGTCATAGCTTTTATCATTCACGGTCTCGGTCCACTGATGAGCTGGCATCGAGCTGGCCTTCACTCCGGTATAAGTTAATGTCATCTATTGTGTGTCTGTGCTCAACACGCTCCAACAATCCATGACCATTACTTGCAACACTGTACTGCAAAGGGATGCTGTCAATAAACTCTCCATCAGTGTCCGGGACACTAAGAGGCGAATGAGGAAGAAAAAAAGACTTAAGGAGCCAAAACATCAGTGATGCAGGAAAATGAGATCAAACTATCATCATCCTGTGTACGCGTGATTACATTTCCTTTAGATCAGAACCAAGACACGACCCTACATCAAGTCTCAACACTTACAGAAATAAGACTTAAAGAAAACAGAGACCAGAACACAATCATCATCCACTGCTGAAGTGGTGGAAATAAATCAGTTTCCACAAAAGCAATATGAGCTGCCTTCTCTGCAGCTTTAGTTCTACCAGCTCATTCTCAATGATTTAAAGCACATTTCAAACAACTAATCACTGTAAGGTTTAAATTGAGTTTGTCGTGCTGTAAAAGAGACACAACTGTCTATACTATGTTCATACTAACGCACCTGAAAATGTATATCACATGACCTGGAACTGGAAGCAGATTGTGAACGCTGCATTTGGTTGCTTAGTTACAGAACATCCAACATACGAGAAACAACAATAGTGAAAAGTAAAGCAAGGGATTTCTTTTCATGGACAGTTGGTCGGATCGTGACTGATGTTTCCTAATGTTTCTATTGTAGTCGCTCAAAAACTTCATAGTAGTGTGGACGTCAGACGTAACTATAGGAACAGTGATTATTTCTAATATTACAACATAGAGGTGTGCATATAAAGCCTCTGTTTCCTTTGTGTTGCCAACGCTAATCAAGATTATAAAGACTGAGCACAAGAACTTGGAATAACCTCTTGATTACCAAACAAGAAGGTTTACTCCCTTATATTAAATCATTTTCATAACTGCATTGACTGCTNTTTATTGCATCTTAGAAATTGTAGTAAACTTATGTCATTAATTTCCTGTAATTAGCTCTGTATCTACGACCAGACGAATATTTGATCCTCAGAGCTCTGTCATCACTGAACGTCCTGCTCTCTGTTCCTGTCTGTTTGTGCCTCAGTTGCTGGACAGTGACCAGGAGCTGTACAAGAACTTTCCTCTGGTCATTTCGGAGCGCTGGCAGCAGGAGGTGGCAGAGACGGTCTACGAGGCCGTCAACTCGGACACGGACAAGAGCGAGGCTCGCAAGAGGGCTAAGAACAAGCAGCTGGGCCACGAGGAGGGTAATGATAATTGGCAGGAAACGACATGATGACAGATTTTAACACACACATACAGCAGCAGACGTTCTGACCCTGTGTATCTGTGCAGACTACGCCCTGGGTAAAGACTGCATAATGCATGGCTACATGTTGAAGCTGGGGAATCCGTTCCTAACTCAGTGGCAGCGTAGATACTTCTATCTCTTCCCCAATCGTGTGGAGTGGAGGGGGGAGGGCGAGTCACGGGTGAGTTTTCCTCACAGCACACATGTTTCATCACATGTCCACACCCACGTTCTTGCGTGCGAGTTCGATATCTGTCTGTCTGTCCTGAAGTGATGACGTTGTGTTACTGTTACTATGAATGTTGTCTGTCTGTCTCTGTCTTGATTCCACACTGAAGGACAACTGGCTAAAACATTTTAAAAAGCAGAGAGATGGGGTGAGTGTTTTAACACCAGGTCCTGGCCCCTGCTGTGTCCTCAGAGTCCCAGCTGTATAGAATAGTCCACCTCCCTGCTTCAGACACAGTAGAGAGTTTCTGTCTTTATGCCCTCATCGGCCAGTAGCTGAACTTAAAGGAGAGCGACCCTGAGAGCGTTAGGTTGACATCAAGACCTAGAGTATGTGCAGGACCATTGACTTAACATGTGATGGTGTCTTCAAACAGCTAAACTAATCCTGTTATTCAACGTTCACTTTGGTGGATGGATCAGGTCATGAGTTTTGTAAAAAGCTAAACTTTTTTTTAGGTCAAGGTTTAGAATAATGATAATCTAAGGAAGGAGTTTACTGCTCTTCAAGATAATTTGAACTTAATTACCAGGTAGAACAGTATTGTTGTTGTATTTGTCTTCTTATTACTTCTGTCTGTCTTCATTGCCTCTTTATTTCATACTTACTTGACCACACATTTGTTTCCTAATGGAGCTTCACTGCTAAATGTCCTCACTGTTTTCTATTGTACAGTGTGACATCTAGAATCTTAAATCATGAACTTTAGAAATAGATCATTCATGTTACAAAGTATTTCCAGAGCCCTCTGACTAAACATGGCCTTATACCTACAGTCATTACCATAAGGGAGTGAAGTCCCTGCCTTTGGTTCAAAGGGTAAACAGCATTTTTAACACTAAGAATTTTTTTTGAGACCATGCATGTCTCAATAAAAGACCTAAAGCTGTGACTGTGGCTACATCCGCACTACTACAGTGTAGCTTTAAAACTCTTCACTGTCGCTTTGGTTCGCTTTGCTGTGTCCACACTACCCTAGAGTTTTCAAATGGCTAAAATGGATAAGATTGAATTGCCTAATTTGAAAAGTCTGGGTCTGCATTGTAGTCTGGATGGTCAACAATGGAGAGAGGGATGCAGTCACCTTTATTCGTTTCCTGATTGTTTCCTATAGGGTCACAGTTTCACCAGCAGTGAAGAAGGGTTGTTTGCAATAACTGTCAGGAACAGTTCCACCTCGTCGTTGGTCCAAGAAAAGAAATCCCTGTTTTTACTTTTCACCCTTGATGTTCCTCATTTGTAGTATTTTCTGTAACTAAGCAACCGACTGCAGAGCAGACAATCTGCTTCCTGTTTACACCTTCATGCACATTCCCAGTGTACATGAATGGTCATGTGATATACGGACAGGGATTATTATCGATACAGAGCTAAAACTCTCATGTGGACAGAGACCGTTGTGGTTTTGAAATGCTTCTTTAAACCAACACTCATTAGTGTGAGGATGTAGCCTGTGTGATATTATTGTTGTTCCAGGATATCACCGGACCACAGCTCTGCAGTAACTGTTGTTCAGTCAAATGGAAGCCAACTGTGCAACAGTAGTCTCTCAGCCTCGGCCCTAGTGCATCATTATCTTTGTTCTGCTCTGTGAGCTTTACCTTTGCTAATTTTATATTGGCCAATTTTGTTCGCAGCAAAACCTGCTGACGATGGAGCAGATAGTGACGGTGGAGGAAACGCAGATTAAAGACAAGAAGTGTATCCTGCTGCGCATCAAAGGAGGGAAGCAGTTTGTGCTGCAGTGTGAGGTAGGACTACTTTTATTTCCCAACCGCGTCGACAGGATGAAGACAGAGAGCTGATCCCTTGATTTCATTTTATGTTTTTTGTTCTGTGTGCAGAGTGATCCTGAGTTTGTGCAGTGGAAGAAAGAGCTGACCGAAGCGTTCACAGAAGCCCAGAAGCTGCTGCGTCGTGCCCCCAAAGTTATCGGGAAAGGGCGGGCCGGAGTGGTGGAGCTCTCCAAACCGCCCCTCACGCACCGCAATAGCAATGGCTTGTGAATGCACACACATATACACACATATATATATATATATATATAAATTCACAATACACACACACATACACACATTTGACACACACACAAACACACACTGCAATCCACCTCCCTCCCTTCCCCCCCTCCTCATCAGTCACAGGACATTTGCTCTGACACCTTCCCACCACTCGCCCACGACGCCTCACAGTGTGTGAACGGAGCATGCCCACACTCTCAACATGACGACCAATCATAAGTGCGATATAGTTTTTTTTTTTTCCTGCCATGGGACCTTGCCAGTCATGGAGAGGAAGAAAGGACGAGGCAAGGAGAGAGACAACATTCGGGAGGACTCTGCACGTGAAGAACCTCTGCATGAATGTGACTTGGACATAACGCTCCTCTCTTTCTCGTTTTCACTCCCCTCCCCCTGTCCCCCCCATCACCACCTTGCTAGGTTTGAATCAGGTGAATTTGGAACCAGGATCCGCAGTAGCCTGACAGACTCCTCCAAATGGCCACGGAGCTAAAGCTCTGACTTCTGTTGCTCAGCTGAGATAAGACCAGGCTTTAGTGGGGAATGCTTTTCTGCGAGAGACAGAAAAAGGCTGCTCCTCTGGTTCTTCTCATCCCTCCCTCTAACCATTTCTGCCTGCATTATTACATTAAGTGCATAAAGTGCCAACATCAATATTTACTTGTCACCTGAGCACCCAGAAGGACCTGCTCTGTGGCAGATGCCCCCCCCCCCACACACACACACAGAGGAGGGGGTTTGCGGCAGTAGTGAGGGTGGTTGATCATTCCACTGCTGAAAACCGGAAGTACAAGGACCACAGACTCTTTCAGATTGGCTCTTGTACAGCCAGTTACCATAGAGACTGATATTTCATTGGCTGACAAACCGCAGCCAGTTGCTATGGGAACCTTGAAGACTGGTATACCTGGGGATTGGTAACCACGGACAACGGTATAACTATTGTGTTTGAAAGCTACACTTGCAGAGAAAGAGATGATAGCATATGGACGGGAGGGAGGGGGTGAGGAAAAGACTCAGAGTGTATATAAACAACCCTTTCTCTGTGCATCTCCAGTGTTCTAGTCTAATGTGTTTGCATTATCGGGGACTTCTCTGTCTGCCTGTTTGTGAATCTGTCCTGGCTTTTAGGGAAGAGGAAGAGGCTCGTTTTCCTGCTGGGAAGGGGAGGTTGGGTGGGGGAGGGAGGTTGGGGACAGGCAAAGGAGTGACAGCTTTCAGTCACTGGAATCGCTGCATTACCTCAGTTGGACTGTGTGTGTTTGAATATGAGGAAATCCTCTTTATGGGTCAAACGCCACGCTCTGTGTCCGTGCACGGCAGCGGGCATCAATGTCTGCATCTCACGGCTCGTGGAAGTAACAGTTTACCTTGCCGCTTACACACAGTCGCCACAGTAGGTTTACGATTGCAGTCTGTCAGCTATTGTGGACGGTGCGAATGCAGTGGGGAAAATGAAGAGGAAGAGCTGAAACTAATTAAAGGAGAAATCCACCTTCACAGACCAAACACAACAATGTTAGTGGCATTTCAGGTGTTGTTTTTTTTTCTTTTCTTTTTTTCTTGAAAACTAGTTTTTGCGCTCATTCCTTCAACCTGCCTCATCTGCATATAGTCCTGTATTGGTTGAATTGGCCTACATTTCCCAGAATGCCTGTGGACAGCCTCTAGAGGTGTTTGTCCTTCTAGGTGTTAAGAGCAGAGGGAAAATAGTGAAATGGTTTTTCCAGGAGAAAAATCAAGAAAGTTGCAACATTATGTTGAGCTGGTCTGATGATTGATCTGCCCTTCTTTTTCTACACCTATTGTTAATGGTCTGTAAACTAGCAAATTCCTGTTATAATATCTCACAATCTGTGGAGATGTATTCATAAATTCCCAGAAGTACTGTTTACAATCACAAGAGACAAAAAAAGGTGTCAAATCTGGAGTTTACGGTCTAAGAAAAGCGCGCGTCCGCCACACCAGTGTTTCTCTATAGCCAAGGAGGTTCAGGCGAAGGTAAAGCTCCTGCTGCGTGACTCGAAAAACAAAAGTCGATGTGAAGTCACTGTTGCATAAGCTTAAATTGCCGCTCTGACCTTGATGGATGCATGTTAGTGTGACGTCAGCCTGCTCACATGAAGAAAACACATCGACAGCAGCAGTGCTTCAGGGTGGACTCTTCCTCTGTCTTTCTCTAGGATCTTATTTTCCTGAATGGGGCACAGCTCAGATTGGGTAAAACATTTTATTTTTTTTTTCCTTCTAATTTTCGGGGGCTTTCACGGTTTCACCCGCGTTGTCGTCGACCTCATCGAAGTTTATACGCGAAGGGCAGAAACGCGCACAATCGTAGTGTTGAAGAACACACAGCAGAGCAGTGGGAACAGGAACTAGTGTCTTCATAAATTTCAGGGTTTTTTTTATTTTTCATGCAGTACAGTGTCCTTGTCTGTGATGTCCATGCATTTCCACAGCTGTGATGTGTGACCTGCAGTAGGAAAGGGGTTGATTAGGGGTGCATTGTGATTATTATTTTTTTTCTTTGTAGCCTTTACCAGTCAGGGGGAGATATTATCATCTTATAGAGAAATTTTGTCACCTCTCAAGGTGTCTTTTATTTTTGTAAACCAAAATGGTTTTTATTGTTTTCATTGAAATGTATGTTGTTGCACCTTTTTAGCCCAATGTGTTACTTAATAGTTGTTAAATGTGCCAAATAACTGTTTCTGATTGAGTGGAACCAATGGGAAGCCTCGTTTTCTCAACTTTTGATCCTCGTCACAATGAACATGGCAGAGGTCTAAATGAAAAGTAAAACACACACACACACACACACACACACATGCACACACACACACACACTTTGCGGTGGAATTTTTGAAGGGTACAAAACTGTGACCAAACGTTTTCTGGAGAAGAGGAGTGTTTTTTTGTGTTTGCACGCTTTTTGGCTTTCCAACATGTTGCCATTGGGACTCGCATTGACACACACACACACACACAGCACACACACAGCACACACATCTCCCAGCTGTACTCCCAACTTGCTCCTGAAGAGTTTTCTTTCACACTGTATGTATATCATGTGAGTGCAAGAGCATACCTGTGCGTCACTATCGCTTTGTATGTTCATCCGGTGGAAATTTATTTTTTTCTTGTCATACACAGATTCTCAGCACACGCTAACACACGCTCAACACAAGACAATTTAAGAAGGTTGGCATATAGGTGAAAAAATCAAAGTATATATAAATATATGTGTATATGAAATGACAAAATGCTCTAGGTTTATTTAAAAGATTTAATGTAGAAAAACAAAATGAACTTGTTCAGGGGAGGTCGGGTTTTTTTTTTTTTTTGATGTGAGTATAATTGTTTGTGGTGAAGACTTCAGCTCGAATCTTGCACATAAAGACTTTAGATATTGTACCTGCGAGTTCCAGATGATTATTTTTGTTTGAATACCGGACTCTTTGCTCTTTCATATTTATTGCGTGTGTGGGGAGCTCTCTCTCTCTCTCCTCCACGTGTTGGAGCTCTCAGCCTAGAGCTCGCTGTAGAAAATCCTCCGATTTGCGCCCATCAGAAACTCTTTGTTTTGTTTTTCATATGCCACAGACAAACACAAATACTACTGGCTTTGGGTTGTTATTATTACCATTAAGGTTATGATAATACTGATATATAATTGATATTATTCAGTGATTATTAGTAAATTTATTTTATTTCAAAGATTTCTTTTGTTTTTTTGCGACAGATAGGAAGTTGCGTGTTGGACTGCTTGTAAAACAGTTCATGAATAAAAATTCTTTTTCCGTGTTGCCTTCTGTCACATTTGCTTTGCTGTGTATCAACGTTGCACCTGGGTCATAGAATGGCCAGAATTTGAAGTATAATTATGATTTTTGATTTGCTCAAAAGTTCATTTTTTACCTGAACTAGCTTGACCAAAACAATCTCAACTCAAAGCATTATTTAACTATTTTACTTTAAAATAACATCTTCAACATCCTGTGGATGTCACCCTGAGCTGTAACAGGGAGACCGGTTACTCTTACACTACAATTGTTCCGGACAGACTGGGCACTTTGATGATGTTTCTAACATAAGACAGACACAAAACTGAAAGAAGCAAAAAGAAAACCAATTTCTCACAGTAACAAAGAGGTGTCATACACGGTGAAGAAGCAGATGATGTCAATTTTGAAAGATGACGAGATTTGAAAACTGTTGGTAATAAGGGCTGATGGTGATCTCAATTTGCTTACACAGGGGAATTTATTGTGTGTCACTTGCGTCCTCTGTCCAGACGTCAACCCCGGCCTGAACGCTCCTGCTTCGTTGTTCATATGTGAAAAGTCTGGATAAAGTCCAGACCCGATTGTTCATGAAAACGGCCCATGAAACTGGTGAACAGGTACAATCACCTGTGGAAAGTGTCTTGTGATCTCCTGCCATCTTCCAGAGATACGTCTGTGTGAACGTAAACGCCCGAGCTACGTTGCATCCTGCCTGTGCCTGCTGCACACTGAGTGAGAGTCAGTGGCTCAAACCTCCTGGCAAGTTAAAGTAATGTTGATCTGTCAAGGAGTTCAAATGACTACAAGCCAGTGTTCATCAAGTTAGTACATGAAAACTACCCAACTGTCCAACCCTCTTGTGGCTACAGAGGGCGCTGCTGCTCAGTAAAAGTTGCTTTTTGGTCACTTAATTGCCGTCTGTAGTTTCCAGTCATATCGTGCATGTGATGCGTGAAGTTTAAACTTTTCTTACCTTCAGTCAACACAAGCCACAAGTCTTGAAATTAGTATGAAACCAAACATCTGAGAGTGCACATCAGCAACCATCATTCTCAACAGGTGAACGCCATCTGCCAATACCGTGTACCCTGAAAACATTAGTTTAACAAAACATTCCCGACTCAAGGTCCACTTACCTGCTTTTCTGGAGCTTTCAGCCATGTCATAGTTTTCAACTTTCATTCTTAAAGTCATCATCAACCAAGAGTTCAAACTGATCCATCTCTAAGACAACTGAGCCAACTCCATCCACTGAAGCCCTGTGAAATCATGAAGAGCTCTGGAATCATACTCTGCATTGACTTTTGGTACTTCTTGTTTGCTTTGGCTTAAAAGATCAAGTTTGTACCTTTTAAAGTTTCCGATTAACAAAACGATCACGTCAGTCTGTTTGCAGACGATATACAGAACCTGCATCCTGAACTTGAGCTCCTGCTCCTCAGTAAGAGAACAAGTGAGTGGAATTAATCATTGTATATATTAAAGTTTAAACCAACAGAGAGCAGCACAGCAGCAATTTTCTCCATCAGGTGATCAACTGTGAATTCACCTTGAACTGTTCACATGGGAAATGACACTAGATGAATGTTCCTGTTAAATAAATCCCTGGTTTTAGCTGCAGTTGTGCAGATGGCAGTGTTTTACTTACTAATACTCATTGCATATAACCACACACTAATTGTGATGCAGTTTCTAAAATAGACAAAGATATTTGCAGCTACATGGACAGTGCACAGCCTGTGTTCACCCTCCATCAGTCTCCACATCCCATCAAAGACAGACAGCAACATTTCCTTCTTAATACTGATTTCTTGTGTTTGTTTTCTGGACCTGTTCTGTGTTTTAAGTTAACAGTCTGCTCTGAGAATTCCTCATTCTGTCACTTTTCTAGTGTGAACCCACTAAGAAGCTGCTCAGGACTAGTTCTGTATGCAGTGTGGATGTGGGTCATGTTATTCTCGTGGCTCGGTCAAACTTCCTTAAAGCTGTGCACTCAATTTGGCTTCGTGGTTCAGTTTCACAAGTATTATAAACGTGCCTAATAATTATCGTTGTGCATAGGATTGCAAAATGGACAATTTATTCCAGCAGATTGGTTGCATAGAATAAAAAGCTCCAGTGTGTAGGATTAATCTGTTCTCTATCTATCATGTAATGTAATGTTTTCATTAGGGTATAAAAACCTGAAATCAAAAATTACTGAATGAGTCTTCCATGTTTCTACAGTAACCCTGAATGGACAAAACAAACACAGGCTCTACAGGGTCTGGCATATTTTAATTTTAAATGTAATGTACAACATTTCCACTATAGTCTGAACCTTTAATGGGGATTTGCTTTGGACAAGGCACATACTCGTTGTAGGTGGGGGTGTCAGCAGGGGCCCCTGGGGCCCCAGACGGGTAAGTCCAGCCATTCTGTCCAGTAAAGGCACCACAGGCCAAAATAACCCCTGATCCACTGCCTCACTGTGTCAAAGCTACTACTGTCTCCAATAACTTTATTTCCAGAAATGCTTTTTTTCAGGCCTGTTGGTCTCTAACAGCGTGTGGCTGCTGTTTGGCTCAGGGAGGAGGAGAGGTTGTGTGCTGTGTAGCTTGTTTTCACTTTGTTCGATGAAAACAGCTCCCTGCTGCATCTGGAAACACTGAGGCAGAACTAATAGTCACAGCTAAAAACATAAAAAGACAATGTCAGAAAAGACCCACAGCTCTCTGGAGCTGCTGAGTTGAGCTGAGCTGGGTCACTCTGAGTTGACACCTATAAAAATGTTACATAAGAAAAATAGAATTTAGCTTTTCACCTCTTTTGCTTGGAAAAAAAACAAATAAGCTTCATCTACCTGGAACAGTGTTAATCTACCTTCAAATTGATTGGTTTGTTCAGCAGATTGTGTTTGTCTTGTACCAGGCAGACTCCATTAGCCTGCTTTGGGCTTATCGATGTTTTGTCCCATCTCGTTGCACTCTGTACACTTTCAAGTTTTGGGCTCAGAGATGTTGTTTTATTTTCATGGATCAGATAAAGAGGAAAAATGTCAAAATGATATTAGATCAGTTGAGATTGTTTCCCTTTTCCAGCTCACACTATAACTTTATTATTAATTATGTCAATGTGATCATGAGGGTAAATGGTTTGTATTTATACTTTGTATTTATACTTTGTATTTATACTAGTCTTGATGACCACTCAAAGAGCTTTACAGTATTCACCTCTTCATACAGTGCATCTATTAGCAGCACTTGTCTCTATGAGAAGGGCAGTTAGGAGTTCAGTACCTTGCCCAATGACACTTCGGCATTCGGAATGGGGAAGACTGGGATCAAGCCGCCGACCTTCCGCTCTAATCAACTGGTTAAGTTAGGGGCCCAACATTACATTTTGTACACAGTGAGAATTGTGTGTCAGACATACCCTCCCCTCACACACAACTGAAAAGCTAAAGGAGACTTGAATCGGAAGAGTTTTCAAGTTTTCAGGGTTGTGTGAAGACTTGAGTCCACTACAAACCAAAACACACCCGAAGTTTCTCTATCGAGGTCGCACATGTGTATTTTAAGAGACGGCTATGGCTCAGGAGGTAAAGCGTGTTGTCCACTAACCAGAATGCCATGATTTGATCAGTCTCCACAATTCTGTGCACTGAAGTGTCCTTGGGCAAGACACTGAACTTCAAAATTGCACCAATTTGTGGTGTCATAGAGAAAGTGTGTAAATGGGCCGATGGCAAAACTGTGCTGTAAAGGATAGTATTTATTACTAGATGTAATATAATGTAAATACAGATCATTTACCATTTGCAGACTTTTTAAAAGTCATAGTCATCCAAACCGCGATCTTTCACCCACCAAGTCATTCTTATGTCAGAACCAAACCTTAATCACAGTTGTAATTATGTTGTCTCCTCATAACAAGTTTTATTTTTCGACACTTTGGGAGGCAAACTGTTCTGCTCGCTGTTTGAGTGCATGTTTGACTTTTAGTGCAGTACTGACACCTCCTGGTTGTTCTGCAGCAGTAATTGCAGAGAAATTAATGAGAAGAGATAGAGATCTCAGTGTCTGTCAATCAATCAGTCAATCAATCAATCAATCAATCAATCAATCAGAATTTCTACCCCCCACAACCATGTTGGGGCTTGTGGACACTTGTGGACCCCCTCCATCAGCATAGTGGTGAGGAGATAATGAGTGAAATGTCATTGTCTGGTGAACTATCCCTTTAAGACGTATGAATAAGTAAAGTCCAACACTACAGACTACAAAGTAGGTCTTGTGTTTTTTTCTGATATTATTTGTCTGTTAATCACTTTTCAGATGCTATAAACAGAGGAAAGAGGGGTAGATGGGTCATCCTCCAACCAGAAAGTCGGCAGCTCGATCCCAGCCTTCCCCATGTGCATGCCGAAGCATCCTTGTGCAAGATGCTGAACCAAGAATGGCCCTGCTGGAAGAAGCGCTGCCCATAGATGCACTGTATGAATGTGTGTGTGGGTAGGTGGATGACAAAACTGTACTGTAAAGAGCTTTGAGTAGAACAACACTTTATAAATTCACCATTTAAAATAGCAATCAGGTTATAACACTGCTGAACTCTGATGTCAGCATATTCAGGTGAAGCCTTGTATTATCCTTCACAGCATTATGCCGTAGCATGCATTAGTAACTCCTCTGCACCATGAGGACCACCCCAACACCTTGAGGGACTGTCTCCACAACTGGCAAACATTTTCATTTTGACTTAAAGACGAGCTGATCGGAAAAGGGTTGAGGTCACCGTTACCTCAGAACACAATCATGAGGTCACCTGCTGGTGGCGCTACAGGAAAAGCCAGAGTTCCACCAAAGTCAGTGGGATTCAACAGTCGAGTGCCATAAATATCTGAGGTAGATTTCATGACAATCCGTACAGTGGTTGTCGAGGTATGAGAGCTGCACCGGGCCCCTAACAAACATTTCCACCCTGTCCTCACAGACACCAGGAGGCTCCTCCTCCTCCTCCCCCCTCGCCCCCAGCTGGAGCTGTCAATCAAACTGGACAGCTGACGCGGTGCAGATCTGCACATGTGCACTTGTGTCCTCTGTGGGGGAACAGCCGGTGTCTGTTGTCACCCCACCCCCCCCCTCTACATTCACACATCTCAAGAAACAAGTTTGCGATAATGATAAAAACCAGAGCTTTGCCAGAAATATTGATTGTTTCATGTCCCTGCGATGTGTCTCACGTCTCAGTCATTCAGTGTCCACCAGGTCTCCAAACAGGGTCTTCTCACCCTCCCCCCCCCCCTCTGAGCCTGCAGATATTTATAGAGGAATCGTCTGTCAACCATGTCCTGTTGCTTATCAGTGTGTGGCTTCAGAGCCCGTGTGTCACTCTATTTCTGACTCCATTGCTCCATGCCTCACTCAGTCTGTCTTGCCCGCCGTGTGAATCTGTGGTGGTGTTTGTGTGACAGCGGGACTCTCACTTGGCCTCACAGGATTTGACCATTACCCACCTGGATCTCTGAGCCAAATCTTTGCCATTGCTGAAGGTATGCTGCTTTGTCTTCTGTGCGTTGTTTCGGTCCAGTGTGCATTAACCACTAGAGATTTTAACGACATTCTCCAGGTTTTATTTATAGATGGTTTCTCTGAGAGAGAGGGGCCGGATCGGGCCTGTGTGGTACATTAACAGGTGTGATATGACATTCGCTTCAGACAGAATATAACACCGTCTTCTGATTTTTATTATGAAGTGTCCCAGGAAGGTTGTGAATAAAGTTGAGTCTATTCCTGTGTGAGATCTACAGTGGCCTATAAAACAAGTACTGTTGGTCATTTAGCGACTGGAGTAGAACTATTTGGATTCAGAGTTTCACCTGAGTTGGGAAAATAATAAACCTGATGGATTAAGATTCAACTTAATATTAGCTATTGTTCATTTGTTTTGGTTTGTTTGTTTTTGTGACGTTGTCTCGGTGTCTTCCAAACTAGTCATCAAGTTGTTTACACGCACTGACACAACCAGTCACCTTATGTGGTGCTGTGTGTAGTGCTTGATCTACAGGGTAATCATAACAGTAACATTTGGATAAGTTATTGTTCCACTTATATATGTGAAATTATTAAATATCGATAAGAAAATGTAGGAATAAATGAAAAAATCCTTAAATTCTTACAATAAGAAATTTTAAGTCACTTGTGAAAGCGACAGGTCAGTGGAAGGAAGACAAAACTGCAGAGATGGTTGTATATTGTAAATCTTGGGAGAATCCTGGCTGCAGCATTTTTGTTTATCCTGAGATGTCTGATTGATTTCTGTCTGAAAACAAAGCCATGGATTATTTTACGGTGGCCCTGAGGGTCAAAACTCAACATTGCACAAAACACAACAATATTGTAAATACCAATTAACCATTTTCGTAAAATTGAAATGTTGATGTGACTTTGTGTTTTGTAAAATACTGCAGCATTTTCTGGAATGTTGGGTTGAATAAAGGAACATTTTAGCAATGCTTTGAATGTGTTACAAACAAAATTAGAAAAGTTTATGTCAGAATGAAAAAGTGCCTCTTGAAAGCACAAAGTCCTATATTTGATATTGCCGATAACTTTACACAATTGTTAAGTATAATTGAAAAGAAGAAGCCCAGGAATAGACCTCTGGGGTTCACCACAAGCAGGACCGGCACTTGCACTTCTGCTGCTCTAGGCGAAAAATAATTATACCGCCCCTCTATTTGCAACGAGCCCGACCAGCAACAACACAAAAACGCCAATATTCCATACACATAAATTGCTAGTGCACTAGATCACCAGTGCAATCTGGTGCAATGCTAGTGTGCTGAAAGTGCCAACAGTATTAAAGTATGCATGACACAATGTATCGGCATTTTTGCAGAACACTATCAATTCATGGCAGCAAATATAGTTGTTTTCCAAATAATCCAATTTCAGCTCCTCAAATTAAATAATACCAGTGAAAATCTCTCCTATAAACCACTTTCTTATGTGCATCAAACACACAAAATGTGCAAGGCAAATTTTATCGGCAACTTAAACGACTAGAGAACAAACAAAACAAAAGTCTTGCATCCTCAGTTTTGATTCTCTGACGGACGGAGATCGTTGCCAGTCCATTAAGTCTGTCTTCTTTTATGGTGCTGTGGAGGTAGTTTTTTTTTATACATTTCAACTTGAGAAACTGCATCTGAAAGCAACTGAAATGTGGAGTGTGAGAAGCACTCATAATGCTATAAAAGCATTTGGAAAAACTTGAGTGCGTCGAGTGGTTAAGTTCCAGCTGCCAGACGTCTGCTCAAAGCAGTCAACACCAGAGAATGTCTGAGGTAGTTGTGCTAGCAGTCTCTTGGCCCGGTGGTTCATCATCATTGCTAACACTCCCTAGATAAATATGTATAAATATTGGAACGATGAAACCCTCTGTGTTTGGAATGCTGGCTCCTTTAATAGTCTCCTCTTTATATATATTCGCAGCCGGATAATTTTGGTCATTTAGACAGTGCAGTATCCTCTCATTGAATTTTTTTTTCTCAAAGACAATTTAGACCTAAAAGTTTAAGTATAAATGGAAAGCACACTGCTTCGGGCTGCTAGCAGTGGTCTGCAACCCTGCCAGGATGCATTGTTATCAGAGGAGGAGATCAGTAACATCTCTGGTTAAATCAAGTGCATCGTGTATCTTCAGAGATGAAAATACAGGATTATTGTGCATAAATCAACAATAACAATGTAACAATAGCATGCTAGCTACAGAGACATCGACATATTTAACATGTGAAAAAAAATGACCAGAATACATTGAAACGATATTAAACTAAGATATTACAATAGTTATCATAATTTTTAAATCCTTATTAATGGAGAAAATACTATATTTAGGTCTCTCTCCCATCTTTTAAGGCATTCTGGTATTTCATCCTAACAAGAATTGGGAGGAGAAGGAGTGAAATGGGATCAAACCTTAGTGTGGAAAATCTAAAAATCTAAATGTGTGACTGTTTTTGAGTTATTGAGTTTCTTTCATACTCGGTGAAAATGTTGTAATAAACCCACTCTTTAGTAACTTCTCAACACAGAACTGGAGAATTTACTGGCTAGACAGCCAGAAAAATTATTTTCAGTGGTTGCTGAAAACCAAAATGCGATAAATACAGTTTTATTTTTATTTCTTAAATTGCTTTTTGAGGAACGTGTATGTCTGAAATGTGTCTTTCCCACAGGCGTGGCCACCTTGCTTGACTATGCCTCTTGTTTGTAGCATGTTTCACCTAGATGCATGAAAATTGGACAAACCACATCATGTCACAATGTACAAAAGCAGTCATAGCCTTAATCCAACAATAAGTTGAAGGTCCTTTGCGACTGTAGGTCGCTTGAGACTGAATCAGATGGGCGGTGGTCAGGGTGGATGATTCGGCGAGGGAAAGTTTCTGGTTTTGGTTAATTATTGGTATTGCTTCACTTTAGCACTTTACATATTTAACTAAACCACAATCAAGTCCAGTATTCCTTATTTTGTGCCCCTGTGTTTGGTCTCCACCTCCTCCTGAGGGAAATATCTGGCTCTTTAGCTGCTAAATGCTCCACTGTGTTTGCCAGCTGGTCTTTAGCTGCGTTTCTATGCTGTTTGCTGCTGAGCAGGTATAGTACACTGTGGATTTTAAAATGTGTTGTCTACAAACAGAAGTCTGCTGCAACTGTTGACAAGTGTTAGCAAAGGTGTGGGGTTAAACCAAAAACTGACCTAAATGTTCTGGAGAGCTGAAACAGCAAAGATCATGATAATTCTCTGTGAGTTTGTCTCTAGGTGGGTTTGTATCCATCTGATTTTATGTGTGTTTTCACTTTCTGTGTAAAATCCTAAGAGGAGAAGCTTGAAATAAAAATAAAAAAACCCTTCTCTCTGTCACATAAACATTTGCATGCATACAGGAGGTGGAAAAGGTGAAATGGAAACATTCTCAATGAATAAAAACTGACCTCCATGAAGCTTGTGACTTAAACATAGAGCAATTAAGAGCCTGGAACCTTCTTCAAATGAATACATGAAACAGAGATGTCATATTTGTGTCACAAATTTACCACACAGTTCTCCTGAATGGAGTCGTTTAACGTTGCTGTGTCCTCCTCTTGTTCAGTGGATCAGTCTCCCCCCAAGACCCAAACAAACATTAGATGGATAGTTCACCCTAAAATGAAAATCCACATATCCACACATCTACTCACCACTATACCAATGGGACACTTTATAGCCAAAATCCAAAACAAATAACATAAATGGTGATCACATGTTATCGAAGTTGAGTGTCGAGGCTCACGGACACTCGTCACATTGTGGAGACACAGCTCACAAAATTATAACTGATGACAACAAAATAAAATAAAAACAAAGAAATTGTGAGCATGTGACAACAGAGCCTCTCGAATGCTTAACAGAGGGACAACGAGACAGTTTCTTAAAAGAAAAGGACGCCTCAACAGACAGAACGTAGCAGCCAGACGTCTCAGTAATAGGAAACTGTAAATCACCAGGACGTGTGTGTTTGTACGATAACTCAGCCTCTCCCTGACTGATTTGATCTGATGCAATGATATTTTCTTCCTGGGTTTTTTTTCTTCTGTACAATCTCCAAATTGAAAGGCAGATCTGACACTTTTCATCATTCATCTGGCAGCTCGAGTGAGAGAAAGAAGGAGGGGGGCTTCATATTTTTCTCTACCATCTTCTGTCACTTTCTTCACTTTCAACTATTTCTCTCCTTTGTCAGGTTTTGTGTCTTTCTCTGCACGCACACATACCACCACCATCACCACCTCCGCTTTGAGATCCCGTCTGGCTGACATCCCCTGCACACCCATCCCTGAGCCACCCTCCACCACCCCACCCCCTGTGCAGCCATGGCCCTGTCTTCACGTTTAAAACTGTGGGAGCAGAAGGGAGGTGCAGATTTGTTGCATGCTGTGTTCACTCAACATATTCTACTGACACTGTGTGTGATGCATGTAGAATCTAGCTTTGATTTTGTTGTCACTAACCCCAAATGATCATGACATCATTTGCTGTGGCTGAGGGGTAAAGCAGTCGTCCTTCATCCAGAAGGTTGGTGGCTTGAATCCTTGGGCAAGTTGCTGAACCCCGAATGGCCCCTCATAGATATTGAATGCACGAATTGGAAGTTGCTTTGGATGAAAGAGTCAGCTAATGACATGTCATGTAATGACATGTCGCTGTGAAGTCTGCATGCTGAGAACGGTGTATTAGTCATCCTGCATGTCTACTGGTTTGACTTTGAGCTTTCTAAAGCTTCGCTCCGTCATTGATATTCAGGCTGACGCTGCTAGGAGCTGATATTCAATACTTTTGTGCAATCACTCAAGTCCTTTCTTTAGAATCTGACTTTAAACTACTTTTTCACATTTCACATTATTCCACTAGATTTATCGTTGTCACCAGAGGTGATCCTTTAATCAAGCAAAAGCACCAACATGTTAAAATTCTGCATTACATGTAAAAGTCCTGCATTCAAAACCCCACCCAAGAGCCTCACCATTGATGCTTAAGCAGCTTTTTACTGTTGTGGCGGCTACAGGTGGAGGAGCTGCTCTTGCTGCTTGACAGCTTGGCATCAGGCTCCTGTCTAGATGCATGGATACAGAGCTATTACTGTCTGTTGTGCATGGATAGAATCACCACTCGAAAAGTTTGGTGATGTCGCCCGGAAACAATGTAGAAAACATGTAGTTATACATCCTCTATACCCACAAGGTTGTGCAACAACATGATTGCCTCGATATGTTTCCTCTTTCGCTGTTATAAAGCAGATGATTGGCTTACTGGGGGAATGGGCGAGGCTTGTGTTAAACAACTGCGAGTGTTATGGACTTCTTATAGTGGTTTGTCTTTCTCCTATAACATTTCTACTTTATATATATTTTCATATTTGGATATTTCAGTTGCTCCCAATGGGCCAACAGATAAATCTTGATGAGATGATTTATGGGAGAGAAAAGAAGAAAAACATTTAAGTAACTAAATATCTAGAACTGCCGAAATAGTTTTTGTTTAATCGATTTCTCTATTGAAATTGTTTTTATCAGCAACACATTTTGATTAGTCATTGTTTATCAATTCAAACAAAAAAATGCTCAAATTTCTCTCATTCAAGTGTGAAGATTTCCTGCTTTTCTTTGTGATCGTAAATCTGAATATCTTTGAATTTAAGACTGTTTATCCTACAACCCGATATATTATCACCTTGTTACAAAACAAATATCCATACTTTTATGTCTGAAAGAGTTTTTGTTTCGTAATACAACAATTTTGTATACAATATGCAAATAAAGCTGTTGTAATGGAACAGTTTTACTTAGTAGTATTGCTATTTTTTCAGCAATTCCCCAATTAAAGGTCCAGTGTGTAAGATTTAGGTGAAAGGAAACTATTGGCAGAAATTGAATGTAGAATAATCCTCATGATGTTTTCACTAGTTCATTTCATCTAAATTGTATGAATTGTAGTTTTCTTTACCCCAGAAAAGACCCTTTATATTTAAATACTTTATATTTACATTGAGCGGGTCCTCTCTATGGAGGCCACCATGTTTTTTACATTAGTCCAGACTGGACAAACTAAACACCTTTTGAGTTTTTATGACAACTGAAGCTACCACAGGTTCTTGTTCATGTTTGGAAGGAGAGGGTGAGGTGAGGGGTGTTCAGCTGCAACATGCAACTTCAATACAAGATATCACAAAATTCTACACACTGCACCTTTAAGTACTTAGTTCCTTTAAGTGATGTGGCATGTATTGGATAATGGTAAACATTAAAAAAAAGACAAATAGTATGAATAGAGAGTACGAGAGTATGAATAATCATCATATTTCATGTTTTGAACTGCTCCTGAGAAAGATAAGTATACAAACAAATCCTGTAATTGAGTCTAGTCACAGACTGCTTATGTCTGTGTTAAGGCAACATAACACTCCAACAGTCAAAATGTAATAATTAGGCATGACTCAGTCTGATTCTTCTCCAGGTTTTCTCGTGATTGCATATTGTAGCTTTTCAAAGAATGTGAAACAGCTGTCCTGCTGACCTTTATTCTGTTCCCTGTTGTGTCAGCCTCTGATAGCTATTAGTTAAATGTCAGGCCTCTGGCTACCTCTCTAGTTTGGCTCTTCTGGTTCCCTCATGATTCTTGTCATAGCCACTGAGTCATACTTCCTCCTAAAGCTGAGAGCGCACATGATGGAAAACGTATTAAAATTTACTCAAATACAGCTGAAGACACTCACTCTGTCTTTGACAATCAAAATAATACGTGAAGCGACCTGTCCTGTTACTGGCTGAGCCATGAAGCCAGTCAATGTTAATAAAGTCTATATATCACTCTATATGAGGGAGGCTCTCACTCGGACATTTGCATTCACACATATACCTCGTCTGAAGAGACTGCAGATCTCTGGATTTCAGTGCATGTCTGAAAGCAGCTTTAGATAAAAGACCCACTAGTAAAAGATTACAGTAAATATGGTATCGTATATATATGATAAATTCATATTAAATGTTATCACTTCATCATTTTAGATTCTTTCTGAAAATGTCTCAGAATTTGTCAAAGAATGTGTCATGATTATTGAGATGTGGCCAAAAAAACTAAGGGATTTCCCTCGTGTTGCTGAGATATTAAGGTCAAATAGTCCTTGAGAAAGAAAGCAGGATGTACATAAAGATGAAATAAATAAATATTGGATCTCACTGAGGAGCATGGCTACACAAGTTTAATTCCAGAGCAACAAATCTCAAAGACAAATAAATCCAAACCTGCAATGATGAATACCACAGCAGTTCTTGTAACGCGTGTGTTCAGATCCCACAATGATCCTGTCTAATTGCATTCACCCATCTTTCAAACCACAGATAAAGGAAGAGAACCAGCCGGTGGCCACAGCCACGCCTTCGCCACCTCTGTCAGCGCTGCCCGGCGGCTTCCTCAAACAGCTGGTCAGGGATTCAGAGAAGGAGACCAAATATAAAGAGCCGGAGGTCAAAGACGACAGAGCCGTGAGTGCCTCCTCATTTGTTTCCCTTCAGCTCTCTGAGAAAATACAATCTGACATTTTGGTAAATATGCTTATTTGCTCTGTTGCCATGCGTTAGACTATTAGATTGATACCTTTCAAGAACGGAGACAGCCTAGCTTAGCATAATGACTGTAGGGAAACAACCAGAGTGGCTCTGACCAAAGGTTACAAACCCCAATCACCACATTTAGCCCACACCCCACACATCCTTAATCCGGCCCACATATGAAATGATTTGGGTGGTCTGCTCCTGTTTGCAGATCTGGGCCACAAATAAGCCACAGCAATATACCACACTTCAACCAAAGGTTGCCTGAATTTGAGCCATATTCACCATTTACCTCATGAGCCACTTTAGGGTCACATCCAAAAGGCCCAAATTTGTTTTGGGACATTTGGGCCGTTATTTTACAGATGGGCAAATTTAAGTTTCCCCATCCTTTTAGTTCAGGCCATAAGAAGGCCAGAAGGGACTTTTTGACAGAGCTAGCTGTTTCCTTTTGTCCCGAAGCCTTTATACAGAGCTAAATAAAAATATGAAGTTACAACTAGCAGTTGCTTTAGCTGCTTGTAACTTCATATTTTTACTCCACAGACACAGTTGGATTAATCTCCCCATTGATTTCTTTAGAGGGTGATACCGAGTCTTCTTTTTTTATCCCTGTAGCCAAACAAATTGAGCGACAACCTTGTGCAACAGTTCCTCGTCCCAGATCAGACTCCTCCGATCCTTGAGGCTGAGATGGCGCTCCGAGCTGAACAGCTCATCAGCAACAGCAGGCAAGGATGTCAATCAGATGGCAAGTCCCCTCAGAGACACATCTTCACTCCCGAACCTGATGGTCAACAGAAAACCAAACTGGATGTGATGCCAGAGCCGTCAAAGCAACAGCGGGATATGAGGGCAGAGAAGATCAAGAAGACGCCACAGGCCGAGCAGAAGAAGGAGAAGATAGCAGAGGTGAAGCAGGTGGAGAGAGAGCAGGGGATGGAGGAGAGGCTGGAGCCGGAGGGAAGGCAAGCAGACACAGCTATGACAGAGCACAACAGAGAGGTATGTTTGTCACTCTGATCATTATAATACAGACTAATCCTGGAGTTATTATGGACATCTTCAATGTTAAATTATATCGAATGAATAAGTTGAAACACATTTTGGAAAAATAATAATGAAATGAAATTAACTGGAAGATGTGTGTGTGCCCTTGTGTTGGAGTTTTCATTGGCAGATTAATCCACATTTGGATTTCTAATATGTGCGACAACTCAACAAGATATATAGTACAGATCTAGTTGTGTTTAGATATTTAATGAGAAGTTACAAATTCATTTAAAGCTTAATTAAATACTGGATTTGTTAAGTTATTGCAGTGGCTCAGACTTGTTGTTGCCTCACTGTCTCCTTGTTTCTCTCTCAGGTGAAAGACGTGTGGTATGAAGCCGGAACTGTGTGGTGTGTCCAAAAGGATGGGTTCACCCTCGGTGAGATATGAAAGCAATGCTATCTATCTATCTATCTATCTATCTATCTATCTATCTATTTATCTATCTATCTATCTATCATGTAAAATGTTGGTGGATCAGATCTCCGATGGAAGTAGAAGGGAGGTGATTTAAAGAGAAGAAGATCTTTAAAATAGATACAGGTAGCCACCGGTGTCTTGAAAAGCAGGTAGGCAGTCCAGTAAAGGAAAGAGAATCAAAGTCGTCCAAGGGGCTGGTTATGAAAGTGTGAACGAGCATTTCAGATTATTTCTGAAAAGCTCAAACTTAGCTTCCTTCAGGAAAAAGTGATTAGAGGGAAGATCAGGAACAACAGAATACAAGACTATAATTAGATCCTTAAACAATCAACCGATTATCAACATAACTTATCTAATTATATATAAGTGTATTTAACAGAAACAAAATTACACAGAAAATTGGGGTTAGGATTAGTTATTCATTCAAGTCAACTCATTGTCACAGCTCTGCTCTGTGTGTGTGTGAATAGTATAATTTGGTCATAATGTGTGTCAGGATTAGTGGAGTCCTCCACTAATCCTGACACAATCTCTAGTAATCGTCTCGTCTGTTATTTTACCTTTGTATCATGTTACAAATGAGCTGCAGCAGACTCATCATCTCTCCCCGTGCTGCTGCTGACCATATGTGCAGGGCTCTGCTCCGAATCCATCTGTTGATTTTATCCAGTGCTCACGCATCCATTCATCCACCCATCCATCTACTTACTGCACTGCGCAGCACTAATCCCATTAGACCTTCAGATTTCCACATACTGTTTCCCCTGACCCCTGACTGTTTAATATGCATGGCTCAGAAAATCATAATTGACAACAGATTTGTCTAGAGAGACATATTAACACATATGTGGATTCACTGTGGACCAGACTCTGCTCTATAGGCAGCACGTGGGGCAAATAAAAGATGTCCTGGTTGTTGATGTATTGATGTGCGAGCTTGATTATCATTCTCTCTTTCAGCCACTCAGCTAAAACCAGATGAAGGCACACCTGAACTCCCAGAGGGCCGAGCGAGGGTCCGCCTGCAGACAGATGCATCGCAGCATGACGTGACAGAGTTTGAAATCGAGAAGGTAGTTCAGTTCTTTTTCTTTGGAATGTGTTTCTCTCTATTTCTTTTATTGAAAATCCATTTAATGTTGTACTACAGCAAAGTTCCTGGAAATCCAGATGTCCTATAATGCATTTTTTTATTTATTTGCACCTGAGTTGTAGTCTTCTGTGGACCACTTCAATAAGTCATACTTAGAAGAAGAATGAGTCACGTGGGTGAAGGTCCAGTACTCGACCCGTTTATCCACCAAGACCTTAACTTTGTCAGTCCCTGTACAACCTCCCCTGACTTCCAACACCTTTCTACCAGAAAGTGATGTTTAATAAGCACGTGATGGTGGCAGACAGTATGTGCAGCACTTCACCTGTGCATTTCAACACTTTGTAGCATCGTATAAGCTTTTTTATTTTGCAGAAACACACACCAAAAAGCTGCCATGTGATGGTGCAGACACTTTGTTAAGAAATGACCAAAATGGAAGCAGAAGAGGTTGAATTAACCAGATGCAGAATTCATCAAACATTTTAAACTGACAGCCAAGAAGAACTAAGTTGTGAAAAAGCTGTTGACCGAGTCTGAGCAGAGACACATTATCAACTGGCTTCAATTCAATTCATTTATCATGTACAAATATATCTTTTGAAATGTTCTGCTGTCTTATCCTGATAAAGGAAACAAAGATGTCTGGAACTAAAAGGGAAGCTTTTTTATTTTTATCTTTGGCTTAAGTCTGAATTCAATTCGAAGTTGTAAAAACACTGCATGCTACACTGGACCCGTGATGCAGCTAGTAGTGTCTTTTCATTAGTCAATGCCTGGTAAATCTAATTCTACATATCCAACAGGATTTGTCTTATAGAGACATTAAGCAGCTGTTTTCAGAGGTTGGTGTTTTAATTCCAGCATTTGTCACAAAACAGAAAATATGGCAAGAAGATAAACACACCAAAAATCCCAGTGTCTACCTGTGTTTTTATATATTGTTAATATATTGTTGTGAACCATGAACAGCTCCATGAACTGACGGTTCTTCTCCCTGCGCAGTGTAATCCATCAGAGCTGGATCTGTGTGAGGATCTGAGCGACCTGCAGAGTGTGAATGAATGTGGAGTTCTGCACACACTGTCCAGTCGAGCTAAAGCCAACATGCCGCTCACACACGCAGGACCCAACCTGGTCAACTTCTGGCCTCCGATACAGGCCCACAGCAAGGTGAGAGCAGACCACCACAATTTCACAGAATATTTTGTACTGTTTAAAAAATGTTCTAAATGATAGAAATAATGAAAAAGAATATTTATACAAAATGAAACCAGCTAATTATTTATTTGCCATTTAACACTGTTAAATATGTGACAATTATTTAGAAAAGGTTAATACTGCCTTAACAAATAACTAACTATCTTCATTAACTGATGGTTTGTAAGTGGTCCTTGGTATAAATAGTAACTTGTGCCTGATTGATTCATCTTTTTTTTTATTCTGCCATGATTATTTTCATGATTAATTAACCCTCTTATTTATGAATGAATGAATGAATAAATTCCCAGTATTCTCCATTTTTTTTATTTCCTCTGAACAGCAGTTCAAAACCCAGAGATAATCATTTTACAGATCAAAAACTGTCACTCAAGTCATCAGTCATTGAATCAATCAGTCATCTGGTTGTTTTTTCGACTCTAAATCAATTGCATTTTTTCTTTTTTCTAACTCTATTTCCTGTCAGACCCCAAAGTCCCGGCGAGGAGATACAGTCTGGGATGCTCCTCCTGCTCTGGCGGCCTTGGTCAAACGGGTTTATGTGTCCATGGTGGGCAGCCGGAGAGACCACAGCGTGTGCGCGGTGGGACGCAGCGGCACAGGAAAGACCACGGTGTGCCAAGCCTTCACAAATGCTCTCCTCAAACAAGCCGGCACCACTGGAGAGAACCTCAGTGGTGAGCACAGCAGCTGGAGGGATGAGGGTCCGCGTCCGTACTTTACAGAATGTTCATTCCTTTGCTTTCTCTTACTCTAGTGGAGCGTGTGCAGGCTATGTTCACAGTCCTGAAGTCTTTTGGCTGTGTGAGCTCCCAGCACAGTGATTCTTCATCTCGATTTGCCACCGTCTTCTCACTGGACTTTAACCACGCTGGACAGGCTGCTGCTGGACACCTGCAGGCATGAATCACACACACACACACACACACACACACACACACACATGCACCATCGCTTTTCACCTTCTCACCCTCTCCCCTGCCTCTCCATCAGACCATGATGCTGGACAAATGGAGAGTGTGTCAGAAAGTCGCAGGAGAGAGTAACTTCCTGGTCTTCTCCCAGATGCTGGCAGGACTCAGCACAGAGATGAGGTAATCTTCAAAGTACCATCTATCTATCTATCTATCTATCTATCTATCGATCTATCTATCTATCTATCTATCTATCTATCTATCTATGTAGTAGTGATACTTCTGGCACATTCAAATACAGACATATCTGTTGTTAACTCTGTTGTTAATTCTTCATTAGGACAGACCTGCAGCTGCACCAGCTCCCTGAATCCAACTCTTTCGGCATTGTAAATCCCACCAAGGTACAGTAAGTGCAAGAGACGTGTGTGGGGGTTACGTGAGTATGAGGAGCTGCAGAAAAAGACAAACCAGCACCACAGATGGTGAGAACACCGAGCAGGTGTTCGTTTGAGAGGCCTTGTGTCCATCCTGCCTCGGCAGATGTTTTGTTGTTATTAGGCCTTTCAAAAATGTGAGAGAGGCCATGTATGTGAGTATTAGTGGATTTCCAGGCAGTAGTCGTTGGAGGCACAGCGTTCCTTCTGTCGATGAACTTGTGTGGAAAGAATAGAGCTATTTGAAAACATCTGGAAACCATGAAGAGGTCTTCGCAGGATATTGAAGCTGTGATCAGTCTTATAGCATAGTTGGCAGAAATAAACTAAATAACTGAGTCACAGCAGTTGCGGCTAAAATGTCATCACTTCACAAGTTTTTCCTTTTGAGATGTATTTTTGAAAATGTGTCATATTTATAATTGAGTAATCGCGACCTTGAGCTTTGACATCAAAAACTATCTGGTTCATCTTTGAGTCTGATCAAACATTTTTAAGTATGAAAGAATTCCCTCCTGGTGTTATCATGAGAATGGTGGATACACTTTACCTCTCCACATAGTATCTCTTTAAAGAACACACTGGCATGACGTGTTTATTATATATATATATATATCTTTCTCACTTGGGCTGTCACGTCTGACTTTGCTTTGTTTAATTGTTTACACCCTCACTACGGCCACAGCGCTCACGTAAGGTTGAGTAAAAAGATGAAGAGGTAAAATGGTGCAGAGAAAATTCTCCACTTGAAGGGACAGGGGCTGTGAAGATGATTCAGCTGTTCTTCCATTTCAATACGTGACTCATTTTCACAGACTGAGCAGACACACCAACCGTCCCTCCCTTCCTATCTGTCTGCTCTCAGGTTGAGGAGAAACAGCGTGCGTCTGTTGCCTTCACCAAGCTGCTGACTGCCATGGAAACGCTGGGCTTCACCGCCAGCGAGCAGAAGGCGATATGGCACGTTCTGGCTTCTATTTATCATCTGGGAGTTGCCGGGGCCTGTAAAGGTAACGCTCGTTCATCATCATCATCATCTTCCTCATCACACAGTGGTTGTGGGTCCGCCAAACATTACACACCTTTGTTCTTCAAGTATATATCAAACCCTACTTAAGTGCACATCCCACCACCGTCCTGTCTTCAACTGAACTTCTAAAGTTATGAAGCTTTTGGCAGAGAGTTTGTGGTATCCTTGGTAGTTTTACATCCTTGGTGTTGTTGTACTTGTACATGTCTGATATAGACTTTGATGGAATTTAAAACCCTTATGAAACACTCAACACATTTAGTCACCATTTTGACACTGTGTAAACAGATTGAGATCCCTACGAATTGAGTAATACTTGGGCCACACACACACACACACACAGCAATCTGATTCTGACATCAGACTAGAAGTGAGCGGCTGTGCTTTGATCAAACACACAACAGTACCTGGTGAATAGAAATACACAGCATCACCTGTTTTCATCTGAACCACTTTAAACTCTGACCTGCAGGCAGAAATCTCTCACATGTAATAACCAAATGGTCTTTAGAGTTTGTCACTGATGTCACTAATATCCTCCCTCTGTGGACTTTGTCATAATTGTGTCTTCTCTGTGTGTTCCCCTTTTGTTTGCACAGTGGGCAGGAGACAGTTTGTGAGTTTCGACAGTGCTCAGGCGGCCAGCAGCGTTCTGGGCTGCGAGGGCGAGGAGCTGCACACGGCCACGTTCAAACATCACCTCCGACAGCTGCTGCAGAGAGCCACCGGGGGCAGCAGAGAAAGAAACGCTTTTGCCGAGTCAGACGAGGGTGAGATACACACTCACTAAAGGCGCCGACTTGTGGGAGGCAAGACCAGGGTAGGCCCGAGGTGGAGGGAGTCCTTCAGAGAACAGAGGCTTCCACTGACTTTAAATAGATCAGACTGAGGATAATGTCTCTGTGGCCCTGTACAATAAGACAAAGTGCAAAAAAAATTGTTGGAATGAAGAAAAAGGAGAGAGAAGACACCACTAGTGAGGCACTAGCAGGGCCGTACCCTCATTTTTTGATTGACTAACTGAAAAGTAGATTTTTTAAGTTGATCTTAGAGTAGAGCGATTTCTCCAGGAAACGGCTTCTGCATTAAACTACAGTTCTTATTAGGAAAGTATTTAGGAAATCAATGAGTAGTTATGTGCCAGTAAAATAAAGAATTGCTATTTTATTTTCCAACATAAAGTTCGAAATGCTTATTCATTCATTTATTTAACTGGCCTAAAGTGCATTCACTCAAATGTAGTATTTTTAGAAAGCCATTGGGATTCACCTGCCAGCGATCATGAATATATAACTATATACTTGAATATCCTTCGGTATCAATAATGTATCTATCTATCTATATTCATGGTTGTCAAGAAATTTCACTGGGTCACAGTTGAATGGTCAGTGCAGCAGATTAAGCTCCACCACCCCCACACATGTAATCATGTTCATTAAAGGAAACACACACAGACTGAGGAAACCATCCTAAACCATGTCTTCATCCCCCCGGGTCTCTGCAGGCCCCAGGTTGACAGCCACTCAGTGTGTTGATGGAATGGCTGCAGGACTCTATGAAGAACTCTTCACTGCCATAGTCTCACTCATCAACAGGTACATGGACACATCGCTGACTGCACATTCAATGCTAAATGGTTTTTGCAGTGCTTCTATGTGCAGAACTTTTATGTATTAAACAGCCGAACCACTGAGCCTCTGGTTAGTGGCTACCCGCTCTATCTGCTGAGTTACAGCCGCTCCAGCCTTATAATAAACTGGCTAATTTTCAATGCACCATTTGAAAGATGAACGTCCACAGTTTGTTCTCTTCTCCATCCAGCAAAAAAAAAAGCAGCTGAATCACTTTTTGTTCTTCAAATAAACAATCAATTGAGCAAACATTCTGCTTGGTGACTCTGCTGAGTCTCTAATCTACATGTTTTTCAATTTCTTTTGTCAGACAGTAAATATATTTGCATGACTCAATGATTTGATCCAAGCCAGGTTAGCTGTTTTAGCCTGCTCTCAGTATTTCAGCTAAGCTAAAGCAAATAAAACCAAGCTAAGGAAAGAAAAGTTAAACTAACTGGCTGCTGGCAGGATCCTCATATCTAACAAAAAACAGGAGAATGGTATCAATTTGCTTTCAAACAAGAAAGTGAATATATTCACCAAGTCTGAACTATTCATTGAACCTAAAATAGTCCTGAAATGATGTGGTGCAGCATTCACACTGAAAGACACAATTACAGAGCAACTTTAAAACCCGACAGTCATACATGCAGCTGCCCTCAATTTTTATTTTATTTATTTAATATAAAGGTGACTAACACAGATGTTATTGACATGACACCATGCCAATGCAAAACAACAATTTAATAAAAAGTAAAGATGAATAAAATGAATAGGATCCCTTCTTTAATACAAATAATTCGATTGACATGGCATTATGAAGTGAAATGCTCAGATGACAGGTACACAGATAACATAATAATCAAAGGTGTGAAATAAATGTTGTGTGGCCTCAGTCAATCTTGAATATTGGTCCATAAATGTAAAACATATGGACAATAGAAGAACATACTTGTTTTTCTCCTCCTCCCATTGTTTAATGTAATGGTATTTTCATGTTTCATTTGTATATATAATGATTGAAGATCTATTTCACAGACCACTCACAGTGTGTGTGTTTTTGTTGATTCAGATGATGTTTTCCTCTCTGAGACATTCATTTGTTTTCTATGCAGCTTTACTATCGTACAACATGCATACATGCACAGTAGACTGTTTGTGACACGGGCTGTGTGTTTTGTTGGCAGGGCTCTGAGGGGTCAGCAGCTGACGTTAGCCTCCGTGATGGTGGTGGACACGCCGGGCATGAGGAACCCGAGACACTCTACAGAGGAGCGAGGGGCCGGCTGGTCTGAGTTCTGCCACAACTACCTGCAGGAGAGGCTGCTGGAGCACTACCACACACACACCTTCAGACACACACTGGAGAGATACGCACAGGTAATGGACACACACCGGTAATCCAATAATCAAAGTTTACATGTTTGTTTTTTCGTTTATCTTCTCTCAGGTATAATTTTGCGTGTATACGTGTTTTCATATCACACACATAAAAAGCAAAGGAATACAACATAATACTGTTGAGATATTACTGTCTTTACACTTTCATATATATATATTAATTGGATAGCAGCACTTCAAAGTTGCCGTTGGTCGAGGTTGGATTTATAATTGCCACCTTACATTTTATTGAGTAGTTTACTCTATAAGAATAATATATAAAATAAACAAAAATCCTTCATATTTCATTTCTTGATCAAATATTTTGTCTGTAAAATCTGAATCCTCAATGAAGTAAATAGCAATTACAGTTCGCAAATGTAGTTGTGTAAAAAGTTAAATATGTAGTTGAGGGAAGTTGAATTATCAGAATCCTAAAGAAATGCAGTAAGAGTAAAGAACTACTTCAGAATGTTACTAATTGTTTCAATATGTTCAGTTACCTTGCAACTTTATTGATATTTGAAACCAGTTCAAGAAATGAAATGATGGTACAGGAAAACAATAACAGAAACGGACTTGAAATACATTTGATTTGAAGATTTAAAAAACAAAATGTTTGCATGTTTTTGGGTTATATACAAAGTAAGAAATTGTTCCCATCAGGGTTATTATAGTTAACGAAAACTAAGACTAAAACTAAAACTAGCAATGAAAAAATAATTTTGTTAACCGAAATAAAAACGACAATTTCAAAACAAACGAAAACTAAATGAAAACTACAATGAACAATGCAAAACTAACTCAAACTAAACAGAATTGCAGATAAATCCAGCTTCGTTTCCTCCCTCGATTACTGCCTGTCCTGCAGGTGATGAACTAAACTATATTTGGTGTCACACATTGTTTCATCCTTTTTCAGCTTCTACAAGTCAAGGCTTTCTCTTAATACCTGGAAAAACTAAAACTAAGACTAAAACTAAATAAAAACTAAACTGAAACTAGTCGATTCCTCAAAATAAAAACTAAACTAAAACTACAAAATCACTTGTTGAACCAACTAAAACTAAACTGAAATAAAAAAGCAAACTGAAAAACGAAATAAGAACTACTGAAAATTTCAAAACTATAATAACCTTGGTTCCCATATCTTTTGTAATCTAGTTACAGATGAAAAAAGTCCTTGATTTATTTAGTCTCAGTATAAAATAACCTTCTTTTGACAGCTCCACACATTGTTGTCTGTTCCAGGAGAGGATACCAGTGGAGTTTGAGTGTCCAGAGAGCAGCCCCGCTGAGGTGGTGTGTGCCATCGACCAGGCGCCTCCACAGGTACACAGCTAACACTGTTCACACATAAACATGGCAATGAGAGTTACGGCCAAAACTGGGCTGAGATAACACAAATGATATGGTAGGTGAATCAGGATTCTGTGGTTTCCAACTTTTATCTACATGCGTTTTATATTTAGTTTCCAATCCATCTTAAATATGTTGGCGTTGTCTCTGTTGCATCTATCTGTCGGTCGTGGGAAAACAATTCTCGGTCATCTAATTGCTCCTTATCCAAATTAAAAGCTTTGTTTAGAATGGGATTTCTGATGTACTGCACAGATTGTAAAGCACCTTCAGGTGTAAAACTGGGCCGAGATAACAAATGATATGGTGGGTGAAGGTCTGTATGCTCGGTTGTGCGATGTTTTTGTGAAGTCTGATGAAATAACCATGATTTCTTTTACCCATTTTTCAACAGTGATCCTGTTTTAAGGATGTTTGTCAAGTTTGTGGAGCTGGAAAGATAAAGATTTTTTTTTCTGAGCAGGGAGAAACCGATGAAAGCTTCTTTTGCATTTTCTCTCGGCTGCATTTTCCAAGTGTCTGATTCTAATAGTCTCCTTTATCAGTTTCCTCTTACTGCCCAGTCACCAACAACCAGATAAGAGCGGAGTGTTTATGTTGGGATTTTAAGCTCAGACTCAGAAAAGCACTTCCACTTTCTCTAAACGTTCATACATTTTTATTTTATTTGCAGCTTCTTTTCTCCCCAAAAGACTGCAGACCTCAATCAAATATAAAACAGTATTTATCTCATTCTAAGGTGGACATATTTATTTCTCATTTGAAATCTAAATCTGTGTGTCTCTGTGTGCGTGCCTGTGTGTGCTTAAGGTCCGGGCGGCAGATGGAGACCCCAGAGGTCTGTTATGGGTTCTGGATGAGGAGATGGTGACACCAGCCCCCAGTGAGAACAGTGCCTTGGAGAGAGTCTGCCAGTATTACAGCAACACTGGTAAAAAGAAAAGCCAGAAACACAGCACAAACACGGTCTCTCCCAGTGTGTTAATTCAGCGTTGGATATTGAGAATATGTATGCCCCTGCAGTGCGTCAGTGTGAGCAGCCGCTGCAGTGTGAGGTGAACCACCTGATGGGCTGTGACCCGGTCCGCTACGACCTGACTGGCTGGTTTGGTCTGATCCAGAACAACCCATCTGCTCTCAACGCCATCTGTCTGCTCCAAAACTCCACCATGTGAGTGTGTTTGAAGGCCCAGGATGCAGAGCGCTGAAACGCGGTCGTGTCACGTCTAAGTGAACGTCTCATAGTGGACTCCTGCAGTCGGAAAGTTTTGCATTTCACCCAGAAGGCTGGGGTCACCGTCACACAGTATGTGTAAGAAAGGCCCAGAATGGCCAAAAGTCTCTGGACAAGCCTGTATATGTATGTACTATTAGGTACTTGTTCTGGAAATCTTACTGCTAGAGTTCCCATAATGCTTTAGGGGATGTGAAGTATATGTTGCTATGGATTCAGGGTGGCAACATATTACCAGATAAGCTATGTTAGCACTGTTAGCACAGATGTACAGCAACTATCACTGGATATGCTGCGTTCACACCAAACATGAAGCAAATTATTCACGATGCAAAATGGATTTTAATAGATGCAATGTCACCCGGGGCAAGTGGCTTGAATGGTGCGAATGATGTGTATGAACATTTTACACATTAACACATCTCAGCACACGTTCACTGTGTTCTGTCCTTGCAATTGTAAATACACGCTTGTAGATTCAGCTTGTGATCCAGTTTTAAAACTCTCCACACACATTTAACAATTAACAATGCTGCTGCTGCAAAAAACAGAAGTGATGATTAATTTAAAATAAATGAATAGGCATCAGTTGGCAGGATCAGTTATAGACAGCACTGAACACTTACAATAATGTGTGCAGTAACTACTCTGATTACTGCATCTGTTGACTGTAAAACATGTTTTTCGGTCAAATGTGACAACCAACCCCTCTCTCTATTTTCTGCAGAGGGGTGGTGAAGGCCATGTTTACCCCCAGGATCTCTCTTCCCCCTCTGTGTCGAGGTCTTGGGGGATTGGAGGGCGGCAGCCAGCGCTCTCTGCAGAGGAACGGCACCATTAGGAAGACGTTCAGCGGGGGGATGGCAGCCATACGAAGGCACTCCCAGTGTATCGCAGTGAAACTTCAGGCAGTAAGTGCACCACCGCAGGCATTTCCCCTTCAGAACATTTCCAAAGTTTCTGTGGATTGAGTCTGTCTGTCACTGGCCCCTACCGACAGGATGCTCTGGTGAACCTGATTCGTCGAGCCAGGCCGGTGTTCCTGCAGTGTGTGAGTGCAAAGACCGACATCCCCGCGCTGAGAGTCCAGCTGCACTCCACACAGATCCTGCAGGCCCTGCAGCTCTACCGCACAGGTCAGCACAGTCACACTGGGGATGCTTGTTTAGCAGATCTAAGCAGCATACAGAGAATCAATAAGGGTTCAAAGCACACTACGATGTGCAGAATCCCAGAGGTGTCAGAGAAAAATGTTTGTGCGTGATTTAATAAGTCATGCTCTAGGATTAATGCTTCATGCTGTAGATTTAGGGTAAGTTATCACCTTAATGTCATTACTTGAATTTCCTTCGGGATTAATAAAGTATCTGTCTATCTATCTATATCTTTAGTCTGTTGTGTAGCCTTCACACTCACTATGGAATTCTTCAATGTAATACATTGCACTGGGATATATTGATTCACTTTTGGTTTTGGCTGCCAAACACAATGTTGTGTTATTTTTCAAATCCCCTGTAAGAGCATCTCTGTCTTGTCACGGGAAGGAGACAAATGATATTACATGATATTCAGTCGAGAGGATGAATGACTGAATTATGTACAATTATTCTTCCAGGCTTTCATAATGCTGTTGTAAGCATATTCTATTCTACTGTTCATTAATGCATTAGTCAGTAACATTAGTCAATAACGTCTTATATAATATCTGTGACTCTGTATAAACATTTAATGATTCATTAAGACAGTACAACTCAACTTTTACATTATATTTAATAAAACTTAATACAATCAAACACTGAATATGATAAATAAAGAAACATAAAGGTTATATGATTGGTGTAGGTGTTAACAAATGCACTGAGAAACTGTTCAAATGCCTTAATAGACAATGGCAGCACATTACAGTAAGTATGTTGGGTTGAAATAAGTTTACCAGACACAGACTCATGCACAAACCTTTGTCCTTGAAATACAAACCTGTTCAAAAGAATATTCCCAAGATGTTTGAATGTAAATGTGAAAATGAAACTCGGTCTGACTTACCTAACAAGCCGAGGCAGCCAACTCTCTACTTCTGGGTGAGATTGTCTTCCCACTGAGCACATTTAGCCATTTAGGTCCATGCTCCACTTTTCCCCATGAACTCTTTTTTTTATCTGGACTGGCACAGTGCAGCTGAGGAAACAGGAGCCAATGAATATATATATGTATTTTATCTATCTATTTTGTGCAGGTGCTAATTCATGAAATGATCCGTGTTTTATCTCAGGTTGTGTTTAGGCTGACATTCAGTCTGTTGATTCACAGTCAAACATAACCCAGATATGTAATAGTCTGGAGTCATACACTATTCATTTGACCTGTATTATTATCTGCAGGTCAAAGTATTTCTTCTTTTATATGCAGTGAAAAGGATTCAGCTCGCTGCCCCTCCAACCAAACAGACTGCAGCGAAGACAATAGGAAAATAATAACTGGACTGTATTTATACAGCTTTTTGTAAATCACTCAAAGCGCTTTACAGTTCAAGCCACATTAATCCATTCACACTGACCCTGCCGAGGACGTATGCAGACCGGAGGAAGCTGGGATCAAACTACCAACCTTAGAAGATGACCCACTCTTCTCCCTGACCTATACCACCAAACTGCCTTTTCTTATTGTTTGTCCACTTAAACCACTATAATCTACTGGTCGTACCACAACAAGTAGCTGGCAGCAACAGCAAAGTTCAGTGTGTTAAATGTCTTCTTTTATTGGTCATGAATTCATTTTCAAGATTCAGTTTTTTTCTTCTCTCCAAACCCGTAGCGTGAACTGGATCACAGCAACCTGCACAGTTTGAGTTGAGCAAACAGAAGAGGTTGTGTTTGTGATTTACAATGATATGTTGTATCCCCTGTGGTTTTTCTTTATTACCTACTGTCTCCTTATTGCTGTGTTCATGTTCAGTAAATCTTCCCTTAATTAGTTTTCCGTGCTGCTACTGATTCTGCAGGGATCAAAGATTCATTTCACAGAGCAGCTGGTTTTATCATCCACACATTTTTCTACCTTTAATGTCTGAGCAACTTCTCTGAGATCTATAGGCTCACATTTAGTAAATCACTTTTGGATTTCATGCTCTGTCTGCCTCTCTGTCCCAGGTTATCCAGACCACATGACCCTGAGTGACTTCAGGTGCCATTTCCAGGCGCTGTCTCCTCCAATTATGAAACGTTATGCTTCAATGTTTGTCAGCCATGACGAGAGAAAGGTGAGATGGCACATCACGGCACCTCGCACTCTCACACAAAAACCATGTTTGCTATCTTCATCAGAAATAAATAAGCTGTTCTTCTCCTCCGCATCTCAGGCGGTGGAGGAGTTGCTGGTGGAGTTGGATCTAGAAAAAAAGAGCACTGTCGTGGGAGCTAGTAGGGTGAGAACATGTTTTAATCAAGACAGCGGAACATGAGTGCAGCTGATATGACTCATGGATCTTCCTCCTGCTCCTCAGGTGTTCATGAAGCGAGGTGTGCTGCGCTACCTGGAGCAGCAGAGGGACCAGCAGGTCACCGGCTGGTTGGTGTATCTGCAGGCCTCCTGTTCGGGACACCTGGCCCGTCAAAAGTACCGCAAACTCAAGGTTAGTGTGGCTCTGTACGCAGGGGCGGATTTCAGGGGTGGGGGTGGGCGACCCCCCCCTTCGCTCCAGTGCTTCCTCATTATCATTGCAAGGACAGCTATATAATTCTCTCTTACACGCACACACAAACACGCTCCCTCTCTCTCGGAGTTGTACGATCTCTGTGGTTACTGGCCTCCAGGAAGTTGCAACCCTGCAACGGTTAACTAAAAACAAAAGATGTGACATGTTGCTTTAATTCTAAAACTCAAGAGAAGAAAACACAATTCAATTTAACCGGACTGAATCTTGTTGCTGTTCAAGGTTGAATCTTGAATGTAACCTGGGCTGACTCGGGCTGTAGTTGCATCTTGTCAATGCACGCGTCAGTATGTCTATGCACAATTAATAGTTTGAGAACTCTGTGAAGTTTCAACCAATTTCAAGCTGTTTAGTTTGTTACTTTACATCACATTTTATTTAGCTAGTTAAAACTAGCTAATACGCTTTGTTCAAAGTGACTTACACTGAGTGCATTCAACCATGAGAACCCAGAACAGCAAGAATCAAGATAGTACAATTTGCTTCAAAAAAGTCAAGTGCCATATACAACTGCAACTAAACTTAATACATTTTTTGACGATTAGTTGATAATGGTTATTTGACATCTTCTTCTCCACCAAGGTGTAGTCAGAAGAGATGTGTCTTTAGTCTGCGGATGTGAATGGGAAGCTTGTTCCACCATTTAGGAGCCAGGACAGCAAACAGTGATATTGTTGAGTGGCTGGGTGTCCCTCACAGTGAAGGAGCACTGTGCCAATTGGCAGAGCGGAGAGGACGGGCTGGGGTGTAAGGTTTGACCATGTCCTGGATGTAGACCGGGCCGATCTGTTCACAGCACTGTACAAATGTCAGATGTGTATTTATGACACAGAATGCACATTACAAAAGCAGCTTTTCACACCACAACGCTTTTGTAGATGATAATGCAGCATCTTATTAATAAATAAAGGTGTTTAGTTTGTCCAGTTTGGGCTACTGTAAAAAAAACATGGAAGCCTCCATAGAAAGTAACCACTCCAGATGTAAATATAAAGTATTTAAATATAAACAGTGCAATTTGTACAATTTAGATGAAACACACTGGTGAAAACATCACTAGGATTGTTTTATATTCAGTTTCTGCCAATAGATCCCTTTCACCTAAATCTTACACTCTGGACCTTTATTTAATAAAAAAGACAGTATTATAACAAAAGCAGTATAAATATATGTTCAGTGTCTGGTAGGCATCATAATGTTTTGAACTTTAACACACTGTCAGCAGAATATTAGAGATCTCCTTCTTCGATAAAACTAAATCTTTTTTAATAATTAGTGATATTGGCTCTAGTTTGGTTTATTGTTGTTGCTTGTTGTGTATAAATGAGATTGTATTTGAGCAGCTCACTATGTGTGTGTGTGCACGTGTGTGTGTGTCTCCAGGTGCACCAGATGGCGGTCAGCTGTCTGCAGAGGAACCTGCGTACTCTGAGGGTCGTGGCCAAGTGGAGCTGGTGGAAACTTTTCTGTCGAGTTCGTCCTCTGCTCGATGTCAACATGGACAATGAGAGGCTCAGGGCCAAAGAGGTACAACCACACACACACACACACACACACACACACACACACACACACACACACACACACACANACACACACACACACACACACACACACACACACAAGCTCATCATCATCATGCATTGTGCGTAAACACTGTCTGATATTGCACACTGCCAGGTACGATCTATGTGAGCAACAGGTGGACTGCAGTCACAGAAAATGATTAGATGTGAATATGGGTAGCAAACAATGTGATTTAAGGACGTGTCGTCAGCTGCTGTGAGATGCTCTTCTGCTTTTTGTCAGGATGAGGTATCAAATCTGAGACGCCGTCTGGAGAAATCAGAGAAGGAGAGGAACGAGCTGAGGCAGACTGCAGACAGCCTGGAGACCAAGGTTTATGCTGCAGCAAACACCCACCCACCCACACACACACACACACACACACACACACTCATGCTGTGTGATCCATGTGTGCAGATTACAGCTGTGACGTCTGAGTTAAGTGACGAGCGTTTCCGTGGCGATGCGGTGGGACAGGCTCTGGATGTTGAGAGGGCAGAGAGACTTCGTCTCAGCCGAGAGAACAAAGAGCTGCAGGTAGACAGGCAGAACAAGTAATCTATTACTCATAAAGTACTCTTTATGTCCTCCCTTTCAACCTCCTGCTGTGACTTGCAGCACTGCTGGTGTAAAACACCTGGAACTATTGCATCCTCTTCACTGTCAAACATGTCTTTCTCTTCAAACATCAGGCTCGTGTAGACCAATGTAAAGTCACCATGGAAACACTGGAGAAGCAGCTGGAGGAGGAGAAACAGAAAGTTCAGATCGCTGAGAGTCACAGAGGAGCAAGGACAGGTAAAGGACAATGCTCACTCGTGCTTTACAAGAAGGATGTCGCATATTTAGTGCAGAGAACAGAGAAAACCAAACCTGTTACCAGGGTTAACGTGGAAGGATTGTGGAGAGGGTCAGATAAATAAAAATAAAAATGTCTTCTCAATTTCATGCATGGACATTGTTTTGTGTTAACCTAAAAAACTCTTTGTTGAGGTTTGCTAGCAAAACTGCACAAACCTGTGTATTACTGGTTGTGGAGCTCTGTGTTGGTGTAATATCAAAGCTTGTGCAGTGTGGACTGATAATAGAACAGAGATCAACCTTTCAGCAGCAATAAGGGTGTTTTGAATGGCTATGCATTTGCTGATATATTGATCATTGATAAATACATTTTTTAAGTTGAAACTTTGAACTTAAACTTCAATATGTGTTTGGATTTGTTGTTGTCCCTTGTAGTTACTGTGAAGTTCTTTCTGAACTTTATTCAAACTGGTGCTTATAATTTCCTAATGGTCTGTATTTATATAGAGCTCTTCTAGTCTTAATGATCATTCAAAGATCTTACAGTACAGTTTTACCATCCACCCATTTACACAATGCATCTATGTGCAGCACTTTCTCTATCAAACATCAATCACAATTTGGGATTCAGTATCTTGCCCAAGGACACTTTGGCACGAGGAGTGGGTGGAACCAGGAATTGAACTGCCAGCCTTGTGTTTAGTGGACGACCCACTCCTGAGCCACAGCTGTCCTGTCCACCAAAGGGAGGGATTGAAAGGGGCCAAGAAAAGTGCCCAAACATTTGACAAGGAAAAGGTGTGGTCATTGACCTGATCTTTACAAACTACCTGAGTAAATGGCTTTGTTGCAGTTTCTGGAATTTCTCTGTTTCATAAAAGGTTACAAAGACAAACCAAAATAAGACGCTGCCTCACCAAGAGTCATAGAGAAACATACCACAGCCTAGTTGCAAGAAAAACAAAAAGAAATGTCACCTGAGTGAATGTGACCTTCACCATCACCTCTGACAAAGTCCCATCCTTCACCCCCCCACAGACAGTGAGCTGGCCATGCAGCTGGAGTGCTGCCAGACTGAGGTTGAGTTTGTCCGCAGACGACTGAAGCAGACGGAGGAAAAACTGGAGACTGAGAGACAGACGCGACAGCAGCTCGATTCCAAGGTGAGGCAGCACGCTCTGACGTCCACGGCGACGTGGATGGGAGATTAAATATCTGAAGAGAATGACCCTGTGTATCTACGTGTGTGTGTGTGTGTGTGTGTGTAGGTGGCGACACTGCAGGCCCAGCTGGAACAGTCCAGGAGGAGTGTGACTGAATTGAAACGTCACTGTCGCCGCGTGACCTCTGACCTTCAGGATGCCCGAGTCCTCACTGACAGCTTGCAGAGTCGCATGCATGAGCTGGACCGCAAACAGAGAAGGTGTGTGTCCACCTGTTCCTCTTCAAGTGTCACATCATTTTATTGCTAAATCATCTCATCCTGCCTCGCACGCACTTAGGACATAAGGCGTTGTTTGATTGTTTGATGATGTATATATATATTAAATCTACTGAAAGTTAAAATTTCTCACAAATATCTACACGCTGAGATGAAATTAAACTGGCTGGAAAATGTCAGTGTACATATGTATTCTCAATATTTTTACGATGTATTAAATTTCAAAATCTCAGCTTCACAGAACGTGATAGTGAGTTTCAGCTCGTTGTTTTTCTGTTTACTGCTCCGTCAACCGCTCAGATTTAGCAGGGAGTGAGTTTTTCCTCTCCACAATCTCCTAAGTGCTTGCTCATTGTGGGAAGTGGTGGGTTTCTCTATATTCATAAGATTTTAAGGTCTTGACCTTCTATGTAAAGTGCCTTGAGATAATGTATATTATGATTTGGCGCTATGCAAATAAAATTGAATTGAATTGAAGCAACTGTAAGACGCCTCCGTCCACTACCTGCTCAGCAGCAAACAGCAGATAGACACAGCCAGGGAGCAGCTGGTGAACATAGTGGAGCTTTTAGCAGTTATAGAGACAGATATTTCCCTCAGGAGGTGGTGGAGACCAAAAACAGAGATAACAGAACAGTAGGATTACTGAAATTACCTTCATTTACCAGTGTTACTATAATTACCTGATACATTTATCACAGGTTTAAAGAGACCGTTCTGGTTGTTATCCTATGCACAGGCATAACCATGCTTCAGGGTATTATTTTCAATAACGCATGGAGTGATTCTCACCAAACTTAGGGTATCTCCAGATGATTAACTTTGAGCTTTGACTAATCAAATGTCAAGGTCAACAAAAATTTGAAATGAAAAAGAAAAATGTCTCTGCAAATTAGACAAATCTTAAAGTTACGTTGATCATAAATTATTCCCCATCACTACGATGTCAGAAAATTAGCTCATGCTTAGTTAAAAACCTAAAGCCAAAATCAATTGGCCTCATATGGTTGAAATGATGTGATTATTAAATGGAATGAATTAATACAATACAATACTGAAAGAGTTAGCAGTATGTGATTGGGGTAAACAGCATACACAAGGTATGCAATGCCCCTCCAATGCTTTTAAATTATACACACAACTTCTCTGCTAATGACCAGGACAGGACGAAGGAGCTTATTAAAAACCTGAATGTGACATGAGGGAAAGTTTATTCCCAGGGATTCAAAATAATCTAATGTATCAAATCTAAGAGGGTCCATGTTAACTTTCGGCTTGTTTTTACTTTCTGGAGTATTTTTCCTATTTCATACACATCATTTTATTTAAAGCATCTGTCTGCTTCTGCTGTTTCTTTGTATTTTTTGTCTTTATTCAGGTTTGACAATGAGTTGACTCAGGCTCTGAAGGAAACTGACAACGAGAGAGAGCAAAAGGACAAAGCCTTTCAGGAAAACACCGCTCTGGGCACTGAAATATACACTCTGCGCCGCAACTTGCAGGTGTGTTTGCATTTATCTGTTATTTCTACATGTACGTTTCTGCTAACTCATGCAGGTAATGTTACTTGGAAGCAGCATGGACTATGTATGGACTCATTTTGCATTGTCACAAACTGTAGGTTTGGTTGATGAATAACAAATTCAGAATGTCAAGTACTTCACACTATTCACTGCTGTAGTGGACTGGTGTTAATAGCATATTGACACAATGAGCTATTAGTGTGTTAGAATGTGATCCTGCTGTTGGAGCAAACAGCTGACATTGACAAACAAAAGCACTGATGATACAATAGTGTGCTTTAAGGTCACAAGTCAATGGCCATCATTCATCAAGTCAACATGGAAAAGAGCACATAATCTATTGTGGAAATGATGGTTGTCACAGGTGATTCATGACACACTGTCACTGCAGTTAAATGATGCAGATTTCACTGTAGATCGCTGAGATGAGACGGGACATTCATGTTAGGGGATCTGCGTGCAGTCAACACTTCATTTAACACATGGCTCACCCAAACTGAAGGTCAATGGGATATTCTACAGGCAATCCAGAACAAAAGCAGTAAATGTTGCTATATTTTTTAAAGGTTCAGTGTGTAGAATTAAGAGACATCTAGTGGTGAAGTTGCATGTTGCAGCTGAATACCCCTCACCTCACCCTCTCCTTCCAAACATGAAAAAGAACCTGTGGTAGCTTCAGTTGTTATAAAAACTCAAAAGCCTTTAGTTTGTCCAGGTTTGGACTAATGTAAAAACATGGTGGCCTCTATAGAGAGGATCCAGTCCTGATGTAAATATAAAGTATTTAAATATAAAGTGTTCATTCTAGGGTGAAGAAAATCGATTTAGATGATACACACATGTGAAAACATCACTAGGATTATTTTATATAGAATTTCTGATTTTCCAAACATTGGCAAAAGGAAAATGTGAATTTGGGTGAATTTCCAATCCACTTATCATTGAGACAAGAAGTAGGTGTTTGTGTCTCCTGGTGCCATCATGCCACTGCAGAAGTAGGTGGTGCAAAAAGAAGATATTAGTTAAAGAAGCATCAATCGAAGGTCAAAGGAGGGAACACACGACTGTATTAAAGTGATGAAAACTCAGAGACGGAGATCACACTTTGTTTCTTACTTGTATTACTTCAAGGAATGTTTCAGTCTCCTCAGTGGTCCAAGTATGATGTTTTCATCTGATGCCATTCTGAATGACTCCAAAGTCATGTGCATTCTGCACATCATCTTTCATTCCCTGAATCTGTTTCCACTGCACGTTTCATCCAAACACCAACTCACAAGATGTTGTGAACATTCCCATTTAAGACTTTGTGTGCAAGTTGAAAATGAAAATAAAAACATGTGTATGAAAACACACATAATGACACACACTGTGGCTGTGTGAGGAATGAAGCAAGCCACAGGGACTTATGCAAACAATAAGAATGTAATGAAACATCAAGCAAGTTAGATTAAACAAATATGAACAAGTGGAAACAACAGTTGGTAAAAGAGACAGAAAAGGAATAAGCAGTCAGACAAGAAAGGTAGATAAAGAAAATAAAAGGTGAAAATATCTGTGTTTTATCGTTTAATGTATATAATTACATTCCAAGTTGTTCCAGATGAACCCATATGTATATTTGAAAGTAAGACCATGTAACTTTTAAAAGAGAAAAATAACAGATTTGTCCTTGTACTCAGCTGAGGTCACTATATTTCATAAAGATGCTTCAAACATTTTTTTTTAATACAAACAATACTCCTGAATTACGCTCCAATGAATGCTACACTGAACGAGTGTTAAACAATCTTTTGTTAAATAATGGCAGTATTTTTTATCCAGTTAAGAGTCAGATTATTTCCACAGGAATCTGTGCTGTATCTTTTTTAGGCTTGTTTTTGTGTCTGTGTTGAAGAGAGCTTCAGTTTCATCTCCCATGTGGCCAAAACCTGCCAAAGCAATCTTAACCAAGCTCAGGCCATTTAACCTTCACAGGCTCTGGAGACGCTGATGTAACCACCAGACAAAAAGAGAATTTCTTTTCAGTTGGAGTTTGACCAAAATGTTTAGACGCCACTAACACACTGCTCTGCGTGCGTGTGTGTGTGGGGGTGTGTGCAGGAGAGCCAGTCAGAGGTGGGTCGTCTGCAGAAGCAGAAGGAGGAGCTGTGCGCACAGATCCGTGACCTCAGCCTGCCCGTGGACCTGGCCTCAGATTCACTGCCTGACCTCAAGAAACAGCTCAGACTCCTGGAGAGCCAGGCCAGCGAGAGGACGGAGGAAGTCACCAAGCTCTCTGCCAACATACAGCAGCAGCAGCAGGTGCCCTGCACCGCACAGAGACACACTCAGATACCTTCACCGAGCGCTGCCATTCTCACCTCATCTCCCCTCTCTGCAGATCCACCTGAGGTTCGAGATGGAGATGGAGAGGATGAAGCTGATGCATCAGAAAGAGCTGGAAGATAAAGAGGAGGAGCTAGAGGATGTGCACAAGTCCTCTCAGAGACGGGTGGGCGTAGCACAATCCATTCATTGCATGACATCCCAGCACCGTTCATAACCCTCTCAGTGGATAAAGTCTGCACTTCAAATGTCTGCATGTGTTCTTGCCGTGTTTGTTTTATCAAGCTTTTTATCTGACCTGCTTTTGTCAGTTTGGGATGGACTCTGTATTCCAGTATGCATTTTGCATTAAACCAGTGGTCTGTAATGGAAAAGTACATTTATACTGTAGAACATTTTTGAGGTAGAGGCCACTCGTAGTTCATCATCATGTAACATTTAAATATTCTATTCCACAATTCAGAGGGAAACATGCATTTGACTCCATCACAATTGTTTAACAGCTAAAATTATGAGATTTAAATTATGAAGCTCTACTGTGGATTAGAATGCCAGACATTCTATGCATCTTTTACTATTATGCTGCTTGTATTATAATCCATCAGTAGTAATAATTCCTACATCTGTAATAATAGAGTACCTGTCATTTTTATGTGTCATTGTTATTATTCCCTCCCCATATAAAGCAGGGAGTATGATCATTTAGTTTCCAAAGTAACAAATGGTTGTTCAAGTTAATCAAGCATAAAGGTAGTGGCTTTTGATATTATTACTTTTTTTCTGTATTTCCATGGCAACAAGTCTGAAAGTAGCTGAAAGTTATATTGAATTGAAAATAGCTTTAGCTCTCGGACTAAAACATTAAAATGGCTTCGGATTTTTTAAGAAACTTCACTGTGTATGTTTATCAGGTGGTGGAGTAGAAAAGCTACTTAATATAAAAAAAAACGTTGATTGTATTTGCATTAGCCTTAGTTTTTACATTGACTTGAACGATGGAACGTAACTATTTAACCCTCTATTTACACCCCACCCCACACATACTGTTGATTTTTTGACTTTGGTGAAATGTTGGTTTAATTTAATTCAGTCCTGTCAATCAGCCTAATATGATAGTGAATGAACGATAAACAAATTGGCTGTGTAACTACTTGGTGCAAGATCCAAACTGTATCTAGAGCTCCTGTTGTGGCAAAGCACAGCATATGGATTTTGATATTAGATATGTGGAAAGTCAGTGGACAGAGTATTTGACCTGCTGGTTGGAAGGAAAGTCACACTCAGTGGTGTCCTCCTCATGTCCTTGATGAAGAACTTCCCTCTGGCAGAAAGTTTAAAGCACCAAACTGGTTGAGTAGTTCAGCAGAATATGGTTCAAATGCCTCTGTTATTTTGTGCTGTTTATTTTTATACCCTTCCTCAGATGATGATGTTTTTATGCCTATCATTATGCATCCTGCTGCAGGGAACATTTTCTGTCGGGGACGATAAAAACTCATTCATTATGTTTTTTGTTGTTGCATGTGTATGTGGTGTGTGTAGCTGAGGCAGCTGGAGATGCAGTTAGAGCAGGAGTATGAGGAGAAACAGATGGTGATTCATGAGAAGCACGACTTGGAAGGACTCATTGCAACTCTGTGTGACCAGGTACACACACACACACACACACACACACACACACACACACACACACACACACTGAGCTGCTCATATAACATCTCTTATTGCAGAAATCTCTTTATGTTTTTGGGTTTTAGTGTGTATGAAGTTTATTCTGACAGATTGAGTGTCCAGACAGATTTGTCACATCATGGATCATTAACATTGTGGGTTAACGTTCTCTAGCTGATGACTGTCACGTCTACATTACAGGCACCACAAAGCATTTGCAGCCAAGAGGCAGTTGTTAATTTAGCGTCCTCTTGCTCTCATTATGAGGATGTAATTGCACTGCTGATAAGTGATCTGTGCACGGGCTGTCAAGTGGATCAAATTGAAGTATTTTTAGGCATTTAGATTGAAGAGCATGATTTAATTTATTTTCAGTTATGACTCTTAACTTTTTTAGGGTAATCTATTGTATGGAGGAATGATTCGAGCTCTCTCCCCCTGCAGGTGGGACACAGAGACTTTGATGTGGAGAAGAAGCTGAAGAGAGACCTGAAGAGGACTCACGCCCTGTTGGCTGACGCTCAGCTGCTTCTAGCCACCGTCGACAGCACCGGACACAACAACCCCAACGGCAGCAAAGAGCAGATAGAGCGCCTACACTGTCAGGTACACCCAACCGTGAAGAATTGTACATTCACCTGAGTGTGCAGCTTCACCCCCTACTCACTCCCTCTCTCTGTATCCAATTAGCTGGAGGAAAGTGAAGCGAGACGTCTCGAGGCCGAAAGCGTTCAGACGACTCTCTCCCAGGAGCTGGAGAACTCTCAGATTGAACTGGAAAATATCTGCAAACAGAAGAGCATGGTGAGTGGGGCTGTGACAATCATTTGATGTTTCCATTATTTTGTTTATCGAACATGGGATCTGCTAACATAGTGACTTATTTACCACAAAACAATATCTAATAATAATTATAAAACCTTTTTTAATAGCACCTTAAATAATAATTTACAAGTTACAAATGACGTGATATTTATATAATATTCTCATGTATTAATGAATTATTCATTATGGTTTCTATGGAGACTGACATATAAGATACAGGCCAAAGTTCTACCAACTCATGTTCACTAAATTCAACATAGCTGTGAGTATTACAACACATTTATTCCTGTGGGTTTAGTTTAAGGTATACTGTATAACCCAGTCTCCGGTGTGTATGTCCAGGTGGACGAGCAGTTAGCCCTGCTGCAGCATGAGAAGGTGGACCTGCTGAAGAGGATTGAGGAGGACCAGGAAGACCTCAATGAACTCATGAAGAAGCACAAAGCACTCATTGCACAGGTACTGCTTTGAATCTGATTGTTTGAATGACATGGAATCTGATCGTTAAAATCAGATTTGGGCCATTTTCAAATGTGGTTCTAAATTTAGATACAGATCAGCTTCATGAAAGAAATACGACTTCAGTCTGATGGGACCTGTATCAGAATTCATTCCTCATAATTCCTCTTGTGGGGAGCTGCTGACAGATGTAGTTGAAAGTTGCTCCTGACATCCTGAAATTCTGGATCAAATCTGTTTAATTGAAGCCATTCATGTCACAATCCCACCACCCCTGGCTCCAACTCTGCATCCACACGCACCTTTGTACAGAACTTTCAGCTCTTCCCTTCATTCTTCTACTCTCCATCTGCTTCCACATTTGCCTGCTCCCCTGCACAATAACTTGAAAATAAAACCGTAAACGCTCACATCTATGGCCTCCATGTTTATTACCGAAAATCTTCTCCTTGTTTACTTTACATAACAGCGTCTTGTTGTTCTTCTGAGCATGCGGGTCACATCAGGACCTTGACTATGGAATCTGATATTGGCCACATTTTAAAAGATAATGTGAAAAGCCACATAAAAAAATCAGATCTAGAAAACCATCTGGATTGAGTACTAATGCTTGCAGTGTGAACAAAGTCTTTGTGCACGGTTCACAGTTTGTCTGTCTACCTTTATTGATCACGGATCAATCTCTCTCACACTCTCTTGTTCAGTCCTCCAGTGACATCTCTCAGATCAGAGAGCTACAAGCTGAACTAGAGGAGGTGAAGAAACAGAGACACTCTCTCCAGGAAGAGGTTTGTTGGGCAATCAGAAAATGTAGGCAGCTCAAGAGGTTTGTGAATAAGATGTGCTATTGAAGCTGGATAATATTGGATGGCCTTGGATGTCTGGATCATTTAACTCATTGTTACAGATCTCAATAGAACTGCAAGCTTCAGATGGAGCACTGCCACACTCACTGATCTGTGGCTGCATAATTTACCCCTTCAAATGTTTTTGGCTCACTCCTCGTTCTCTCCACCTTCCTGTGATGCAGCTCCAGAAGTCAGTGTCGAGGGTGCAGTTCTTGGAGTCATCCACTGTGGGGCGTAGCATCGTCAGTAAACAGGAGGCGCGTGTATGTGACCTGGAGAATAAACTGGAGTTTCACAGAGGGCAGGTCAAGAGATTTGAGGTCAGACCAGATTTCTTTCCCATTTCAACCACATTCAATCGTTAACAATGTGTGTGATATTTAATTCTCTGGCTCAATTCTATGCTGCAGGTGCTGGTGTTGCGGTTGAGGGACAGTGTGGTGCGTCTGGGAGAGGAGCTGGAGCAAAGTGCTCAGGCTGAAGCTCGAGAGAGGGAGAACGCCCGGTACTACCAGCAGCGCCTGCAGGACATGAGGCTGGAGATGGAAGATCTGACCCAGAGGGAGGAGGACAGCAGCCGCAGACGCATGGAGCTGGTAACATGCTCAAACCACTGCTGCGTTCAGTTTCACAACAGTCAAATCCATTGATGTATTCACTGGTGTCCAGTCCCACATACACATGTACACAAAGCATACATTTTTCATTAATTAACATAGCCTGATTTCAGCTTTTTAAATGGTTTGTTTAACTGAAGGAGGTAATTTTTCTCCACCCATGAAGAAACACATGGTAATAATAATAATCATAGTTGGTTTTATTTCTATTTTTCAGTTTTCTATATCTGTTGATAACAAAACAACAAATTTTATATGGTCTGCCACGAAACTTGATATATTCATGTTCTCCAGTGGATGAATCCTATTGACTTTGGTGGTACTGTGACTTTTCCTGTGGCTCCATCATGACATTGACAGTTGAGGTTGAGTGAAGTATTGAATTTGCCACAGATATTCAAGGTCTGTTGAAGATGAATCCTAAAGAGATCATCTGTATTTTAATCTTATGCCATGAAGGGGGTTCAAATATGTCAGTCATTGCATGGACAGCCGTGTTGTTCAAACATTCAGCGTCTGTGACCTAATAACCTCAAAAACTGTGGTGAAATATATACTTTTTCAGACCCAGGCACATTTATTTGGTACAAGCACTATTTCTTTCCATCAGGATGGGCAGCAATTATCTCGGACCCTAGTACATCTACGTAGGGCTCCATGGACGCATTGAAAGCCACATAGCGTACTGACAGGTTCTATAAATAAAACCCTCCTGCATCATGGTTTCCTATGACTCAGGTTAGCAACAGTCTAGACAACCGTAAATTGATTAGCACACATACAGACCAACCAATATCGAATTCAGATGCACAGTGCCTTGTTTTATGTTTTTATTTTGGTTAGTTAGGTAACACTGAGTGGGACAGTACATGATAAAATCAACATAAGTGCTAAAAACAAATATATGTGTGTGTGTGTGTGTGTGTGTGTGTGTGTGTGTGTGTGTATAATGTTTAATTTATATATAGAATTATTATTTTTACTGTGGTGAATGTTGAAAACCTGGAGATCTTAGTGTTTTACAGATATTTGTGAGGACTCTGGACAGGCGGCTGTGAAATGAGTGACATTCCCATCAGCCCCAGCTGTACTTTGTGTTTAGCACTGAGCACAAAGATGTATGTGAATCCAGTAACACCTCAGTTCACTCCACTCTTCAACAGTTGTTTTCTTGTAATGTGTTCTGTGGTCGTTTCATCCTCAGGCCTTTTATCTTAAATGAATGGAAAAAGTAGATCATAAACATCAATAGTAGATGAAAAAAAAGGGCATCATCGCACACACACAAACAGAGGCTCCTTGTCCAGGAATAGATATAAATTCAGGAACCAATATTTCCTCAGCACCCCACGTCTTTGGCGTTAACCTGCAGACAGATCACCCCCACACTACCTGGGCATCTCTGAGGCAGCTAAATATAATCCCCATCAGGCATTACTCATATGCAAGCTGTGAGACGATATTTTAGTGAGGCCGGCAAGAAAAAAACACCTCCTCCAGGCTATGACTGAAACTACAGCGCACTTCCAAAGCAGTCACATCTCTGCTGTTCTCATGAACAAAAACAACATCTGGTATACTATCTGGAAGATTAGAAATCATCGCTTTCGATACCGATCAAGCTAAGTTTGTTTATGGCAGCACGAACAGCAGGAGGAGGGAGGGTTTCAGATCATGAACGCGCAAACATACACACTCTGTAACTGTGTTATTTTTGAGACCAATAATCCTGCTTTATGAAATATGATTTCTTTCATGATCTGGTAATAAAACATGCTGGATAATCATGGAGACGCTCTGTCAGCAGCCTGAGAGCTGTGAGGGACATCATTCTCTTGTATTTACTCTGATGAGACAGAATCAGACTTTTTCAATGACACAAGTACTTAACATTACTTAATAAATACTTATATTCTGTACCATAACCTATCATCAATGAACGTTTAAGAGGCCATCAGTGTTGTGTACATCTATAAAGCAATTCAATATTAATAATGCACTTCATTGTATGTAATTGTCTTAAATTAAATATTGACCCTGAACACACCTGGTATTAAAGGGATAGTTAAAAATGTAAATTCACTCATTATCTACTCACCGCTATGTCGATGGAGGGGTGGGTGAAGTGTTTGAGTCCACAAAACACTTTTGGAGTTTCAGGAGTAAACTGTGTTGCAGCCAAATCCAATCCAATTAAAGTGACTGGAACCTCTCTTAATAAAATGACTTAATAAAACACCAGGGGAGCAGTGGTTGTGGTGGCGCTCCACGGTGAGAACATGTTGAGTCAACCTAATAAGTATTCAAATGATCACAATGTGATTGGTTATTCGCAAAGTAGATACAGGTTCAGTTTCCTCGGAAAATCGCAGGACAGATCACGTGGGCCTCTGCAACGTTACCAGCTAGCTTTGTTGCCTAAACCCAATCAAGTGAAAAAAAATTAGAAAGACGAATTTGAAAATAATAAGTTAACAAAGTCAAAAAGGAGAATTCAAACCCCAGTCCCGTTAATGGGAGTCTTGTGTTCAACCCAGTCATCCACCACAATGTCCTCTGCTAATGTAATGTGTCACTCTTTATACAACCTCATCTGACCACTTAAGGCCTAAGAAGAGCACCAATGAACAGGCTCCATTTGTACTGCATGAGCTCCATTCTGTTGGCAGCAGACACATAGAAGCTCCATTTGGGTTTGGCGCCAGTGTTGCACTGATTAGTGCGTCATTCCTACATTTCTAAAACTGTCAGATGTTAGTCATAGTCTATTGTTGGTTACAACGAGACTGTGACAGTATATTTGAACCTCTGTTACAGTGCCACGTAGGACCAGAACCAAACACATTAACATTTCTTTCACATCCCCTGTAGTACACAGAGTATGCATATAAAAAAAAGAAAAGATACAACACTCTCCATGTACACAGTCTCCATGGCTAAATTAAATATTTCATATGTGGATAACCAAGGATCTGGGCACATCTGAAAAGAACTGAAGAAAACAAGATAATTCTAATTTTCACTTGCTTTTCTTCTTCCCGGCTTACTGCTCAGTTTTTAACACCGGTAATGTAAAATCTCCATACCTCCAGTGATTTATCTGCAACAAGGAGGTTATGCTTTCTTTGTTTGTTTGTAAATTAGCGGGATAATTAACTACTCAACCAATTTTACATGTCATTGTTTGGAAGGGTGGGACAGGACCAAAGGAAGAATCTATACGATTTTGGTGTGGAACGAGATCAAGGGGTGGATCCAGGAGTTTTTTTTCGTTTTCCTTAACGTTACAAGATGTAGCATTTTTCAACATTTTGGTTGATTTTTTAGAGAACAATTAATGGATATTGTTGAAAGAAAATCAGGCATATGTAGGGGACTATATGTTTTTATGAATATATGCAATTTAATGCAGATCCAAATAAAAATCTAGATGTAGTGAATTTAAATGTGGTTTCATTCTGTTGGATGTTGGTCCTCTCTGCGAGCCATTCTATTTCCATCTCTTATGTAGCCTTTATGATTGTGGAGTGTTTTACATAGCTTTTTATTTAATTGTACATCAGTAATGAAATTGAATACTTCCTCCTCCACTGACCTTTTAGAAAACACTTTGTCAGAGCTGGTTTTGATAAGAGCTCGATATTCTGTCCATTGCAGTTTGCAGAGCAGCCTCTTGCTTCTGTACTTCACCGCTGAACACTTTGGCAACACTCACTTTAAGTTTTACATCGGAAGTCAGTGGTTTAGAAAAAAGTGTTGTTTTGTTTCAAATCTACAATCGGCTGATGTCTTTATGTTCCCAGATCTCAACAAAATAACCAAATAACATCATACATGGTAAAAAAAATTTTTTTAAAACTTAAGAAAAAAAAGCCCAGTGAAATAAAACACATTTGTTTTACATCTAGTTCTACCACAAAGACACAACATCATTAAAACACAGATAGTATAATGCATTGTTATTTTATGCTCTCTGAAGATGCCAGTTGTACTCAGCTCCAGACTCAACCACCTTCATGTTGCTCACTGCAGATTTCTCAGTGACCTCTGAGCTGAGGAGAAGAAGCTTCAATAATTATTCAGCTATTAGCACTGAACAACACACACACACACACACACACA